TTCTGAGATTCTTGGTGATTTTTTTATGTTTGGGACAAAATGAAATGTTCAGTTTATAAAATTGAGGTAAACACGGTTGACGCACTACGTGTGCGAATTTAAAAATCTGCTGAATTTATTCTGGAAAGGCAGCCCATTCTAAAAGTGTACACCGGCGCTTAGCTACGTCGAACACATACAGATATGTCTCTGAATCCACCGCAGACAACTTTGGACAGTTCTTACGACCGACGAGCTGTATTTGCAATTTCTTTTCGATGAACGGTGAGTACCTTTTCATTTATTTTTTTTACTCTTACGCTGTTGTTTCGCCACACATTAGCTTTATTATTGCAAACGTAGTTTTTACCGTAAAGTAAAGTTCCAACTTTAAGGACACCCATATAATGTCTCGCATTCAATCTGAGAGGACATATAACGGCGCACGTGACCTTAGTAGCTCCTCCTAGATGAGAAATTTGTCATGTTTTTTGAATTGAGTCCAGGTGGTGTAATAAAGGTGACTCTGTTCTAATTTGAACTTCCACTAGCTGAAACGAGTGGTATCGCTAGGTTCTGTCACCCATGAGAACAGGATGTGTGTTCACGAACTGATTTTGGCAGGATCCTTAAAATTTGCCTACCTACCTATTGCTATCGCCCCATATTAAATGAGCACAGAATAGAATAGAACAAAGAAAAAAGATTTGCAGCTAACGTGCGAAAACATGCAAATTCTTTACAAGGGCGCATTTACGAATATATCTAGGAGGGGCGCAGTTGTTCTCGCAAGATTTACGTTCAGGAAGAAGTTCGTCTCGGGAAGGGGGAGGGGGGTATCGACGATTGAAAATTAAAGAGCTGGCAGGTACGGTAGCATCACGATTCAGGTCTAGCGAAGTCATTTTCACACCAAAACGCCAACATACCGCGATATACAGGGTGTTTGAAAAGTTCCGGAACCCCACGATAATTTGATAACTTAATAATGGTAGGAAAAAACCAAGTCTCGCAATTGATAATTTTCCCCACCTCTCCAATGGTGTCCTTGAGTTTGACCTTGTTCATGACCTTCAAGACGATTTTTTAAATATAACCCCTATTTTGAACCAGCAAATGAAAGAATCGGAAAATTATTCGTTCAAATAAGGTCTCGACCATTCTTAAATTTTGACCTTAGAAGGTTATGGTACGGTGATACGAATATAAGCCAGAAGTTGTATAGGCAAACTACAGAGACATTTTCAATATTTTTCCCGGATTCAACTGTGTTCTTGGATTTCAAGATCATTTAAAGGTCAAATCTTTTTAATGGGACCCTATAGAATTTACGTTCAGGAAGACGTTCATCTCGCGAAGGGGGAGGTGGGTATCGACAATTGGAAAATAAAAAGCGCGGGAGCGGAGTTGCGGAAAAAAACAAAGTCTTGCAATTGACACTTTTTCCCAGCAATCTAATGATGACCTTGAACTTGACTTTGTCCATAAAGTTACCTTGAAGGTCTATTTTTCAAATATAACCTCCATTTTGACCCCGTAAATGAAAAAACCGGAAAATTTTACGTCCAAATAAGGTCTCGACCATTCTTAAATTTTGTCCTTAGGAGGTCATGATCAAGGTTATACCCAGGTACGGTGATATAAGCCAGTAGTCGTATAGGGAAGATACAGATAGACACTATTTTCATGATTTTTTCCGGATATTCAACGGTGATCTTGGATCTGCCCTTAGCCATGACTTTCAAGGTCATTTGAAGGTCAACTCTTTTCAATGGGATGCTATATTTTTGACCACGGAAATGGAGAAAAGAAAAAAATTATAATCGAATATGTCCTTGACTATTTCTGTAACCTTACACTTAACCATCAAGGTCAAACACAAGTTTACCTTAGTTTCTTGATAAATCAGTAAACTGTATAATCCCCAGATAAACTGATTTCACTGTCCATTGGATTGGATATTCAGGAAAAAATCATGAAAACAATGTTTTGATAGTGTTCCTATACGTCTACTGGTTTTCAAGTTACCTTACTTGGGTTAGGTCTAAATTCAAGAATGATTAGGGCCATATTTGAAAGTAAAATCTTCAGCTCTCTTCGTTTACTATGTCAAAATGGGGGGTTCCATTCAAGAAAATCGACCTTCAAATGACATTGAGATCATTATCAAGGTCAACTCCAAGGTCACCACTGCATAGTTAGGGAAAACTCCTATCAACTGCGGGCTTAGCTTTTTCAAACCATCATTAGTTTACAAATTACCGTGGCGATTGTTCTCCCTCTGCCTAAATCTAATTATCCTTCAAGTTTTTCTGATCTTCGTCCTATAAGCATTTTACCAAGTTTATCTAAGCTTTTGGAAATGGCTCTACATGAGCAGCTGCACACATTTGTTTGTCAAAATAATTTACTGACCACCTCCCAATCTGGCTTCAGACCATTACATAGCACCACCACTGCGCTCCTGTCTATATCGGATAATATTTATAGCGCGGTTGATCAAGGAAAGCTGTCCTGCTTAGTTCTTCTTGATTTTAGCAAGGCCTTCGATACGGTTGACCCAAATATTCTCTGTAAAAAGCTTAGATACTTTGGCCTGTCATCATCGGCTTGCACACTGATTAAGAGCTTTTTAACTGATCGCTCACTGTCTGTCATATATGAAAACGATATATCAACTTCTTTATTCAGAAATTTTGGTGTCCCTCAAGGATCTATTTTGAGTCCCCTTTTATTTGCTCTTTATATATGTGATTTTCATGAAACCGCCAGCAACTCAATCGTTCATTATTACGCCGATGATACCCAACTTTATAACTGCTTCGATCCTGATGAATATATGCTTGGCCAACATCAAATAAATCAAGACCTGCAGTCTATTTTTGACATATCTAGTGCTCACAATCTAAAACTAAATCCTGGCAAATCATGCTGCATTTTATTTGGGCCCAAAAAGAATCGTGAAATAAATCAATATCGCATTAATATTATGGTGAATAATGAAGACATATCCTTCGTAAACGAATGCAAAAACCTTGGTATCTGGTTTGACTGCAAGCTACGCTTCACTAAACATGTTAACCAACTATGCAATGCGTCCTATAATGTGCTTCGTCAGTTATACCCGAGTCGAAGTGTCCTGTCGACACAGCTCAAGCTTAAACTCTGCGAGTCCCTTATCCTGTCAAAATTATCTTACGGTGACTCTGTTTATGGACCTGCTCTTTTACAACGTGATGCCGAGCGGATTCAGATGATACAAAACTCATGCATCAGATTTTCTTATGGAATCCGTAAATTTGATCATATTAGTAGCGCTTTTGACCAATAGGGATGGTTTAAGATGAACAAATTGAGGAAACTGCATTGCCTATCTTTGGTACATAAGACCCTTATCCTTAAAGCGCCATATTATCTTTATACAAAACTAAGCCTCCTCTGCCAGTACGATCAAAGATCCTCTAGGAATAAACTCATCTTACTTATCCCGCGGCATTCGACAGCATTGTTCACACGCAGTTTCTCGTACTGGGCACCCAAACTATATAACTGCTTATCAAGTGAGTATAAAGAATTATAGCCTAAGCAATTTTAAAAAAAGGTTAAAGATGAGTTTAAAGCAGTCGGATGGCTAAAATTTTACTTTATGCATATCCACAGGTAATTGATTGTTTCCTTTCTCTGATAAGTGTTATATTCTAAGTTTTTTTTTTTTTCTCTCTCTCTCTATAGTTTGTGTCAATGTTTTCCAGGTCGGGTTGAAAAACAGCATAAGCTGACACTCCACCTTTTCGTCACTGTTCCTTTTAAATCAATTATTTTGTAATCGTGTGACGAATAAAGGCCATTTATTATTATTATTATTATTATTATTATTATATACAGGGTGTTTGAAAAGTTCCGGAACCCCACGAAAATTTGTGGAATAATAATGCTAGGAAAAAACGAAGTCTCGCAATTGATAGTTTTTCCAAGCTATCAAATGGTGACCTTGTCCATAACCTTCAGGGTAATTTGAAGATCAAGTCGATTTTTTTAATATAACCCTCAGTAAATGAAAAAAGCCGAAAATTTTACGTTCAAAGATGGACTCGACCATTCTTAGACTTTGACCTTAGGAGGTCATGGTCAAGGTTATACCCAGGTAGGGCGATAAGCAAGTAGTCGTATAGGGAAACTACAGAGACACAATTTTCATGACTTTTCCAGGAATTCAATGGTGATCTTTGATCGGACCTTAGCCATGACTTTCAAGATCACTTGAAGGTCAACTCTTTTTTTAGTGGGACCCTCTACTTTTGACCGCGAAAATGGAGAAAAGGGAAACTTTTATGTTCGAATATGTCCTTGACTATTTGTTGAACCTTAGATTTGTCCATCAAGGTCAAACACAAGTTTACGTATTTCTTGATAAATCACAAAACTCTGTTAATCCCGGATAAACTGCTTTCACTGTTCGTTCAGGATTGCTCCCTGGCTACAAAAATCGACATGACCTTGAAGGCGCAGCACATTGTTGAGGTCAGAACCAAAGTCATCATTGGATATATGGAGAAAAATCATGAAAATAATGTCTCGGTAGCTTTCCTATACGACTACTGGTTTTCGAGTTATATCACCATACCCGAGTTCGATCTGGCCTAAGACCCCTTATAGTCTAAATTTAATAATGATCAAGACCATATTTGATCGTAAAATCTCCCGCTCTTTTCATTTAAGATGCAAAAAAGTCCATTCAATAAAATCAATTTTATCTGAAAAAACTCCTATAAATTGCGGGGCTTAGCTTTTGCATGCCATTATCAGCAAACAAATTATCCTGGGGTGCTGGTACTTTTCAGATATCCTGTATATCATTCTCTCGGAAGAACAAAAAAAAGGCTAGGTCCCCCTTTGAATTCGCCTTTGATTTTTCACTTCCCCTCAATAAGCTTATTTGTCCATAAGTATCATGTTATTTTTAGGAGACAATAAAGCCTATTTATCTATCTATGGGGATGTGGATGAGAGTAAATAACAGGTTAATAAAACACATATTTTGCACTTATAATATACAAAAATACATACAATCAATGTAACTTATTCAGATATATATCAAATATCTTAACCGAGGTATCAGAACTACAACTAGCCAACTGAAGTATGTTCCTATCCTCTGGACAACCACTTGCACCAAAAATAGGTCTGAATGCCAGTCTTTTTACTGTCAAATGATGAGCCTCACTGAAAAAAGAAATACATTTTGCAGTGCAATAAATCTTAATAAGGTGTCAGAAAAGTATCGGCTATTTACTTATGTCTAACCTTGTTCGTGTCACTTCAAGGTCATGTATTTTGTATAAGTATTTATTAGAATTTAATTTATGACTGGAAAAGCACAAAATCCCAGAAAAAGTTTTGGACAAAGAAGCTGTAATATAAGGGATATATCTGGCGATTGATGATCAAGTTAGCCTTTGCAGTAACCTTTCAAGGCCAACTTTTTTTAGTACAACTTTCAAGTTTCATGTTGTTTAAACAGGTTATTGCATAACGTATTAAGAATTGGGAATTTCAAAAAATTGCAATATAAAAGCGCAATACCAAGAGTTGAGTTTTCATAAGTAATATCGTAAGAGCATCTAATTTTTCCGAAAAAATCGGAAAAACACGTTACTAAGTAATATTTTAACAAGATGCATGAATTTTGGTGGCAACACCTGCACTAATGTTTTTTGTTAAAAAAATATTACTTTGCATTGTTTTTTCGCCTTTTTCAAGTCAAAAATTAGATACCCGAATTGAAGACTATTTCATGAGTAACAGATTATTCTGCAAACACATAGCTTACAATATTACAAAATTTGTTGACCATAAAATCAGAAAAATTGTTTAGGCTCGTTTTCTGGTGTCCTAAGAGACCATAATAACTTGTTATCAAAAGTATTGTATTTTTTGGTAACCGCAGCTGTCAAGTTTCGCCGCGGGTAAACTCGAAAAAACTGCTGACAGGTGCTGTCGTACAATTTTTCCATTTAAAAACCATTTGTAATTCAAAATTGCGCGTTTGCGATTGATAGAAACTAAGACGAGGGAAATAGTATAGATACACTACTTGGAAGAGAACCATTGTCCTATCCATTAACGGCTTACATTGTTCAATTAGTGGGTAGTAGACATAATAGCTAGATCCGCAAAGAGGCAAATTACTGGTTTTGCTTGTAATACCATATTAATTTGGTACTGGAATTATTAGAAATATTCGCTTTGATCATTAAATCTGTGAACCAGTCGCATGAGCTTGACAATGTGATATGAAAATCAATCCAAAACTATTTTCAACTGAAACCGAATATTTTACATGGAACTCGCTACATTATTCAAAGCAATTTTTGTATGCTGGGCATTATTATACATTGAGCATTGTTAGCGTTAACAGCTACCTCAACGTGAATCAAAAATAGAAATAATTCGTGTCCGATCCAATAGCACTCCGAAAATGTGTTTTTCATCACATGGCAAGATGAGTTTTTTTTTATCAAACACTGTATTTGTCTGTTTAATGCTTTATGATATATGTGTCTCTTATTTATTTCCCTTAACATGACCAGCATATAAAACCACATAAGACAAATAAGTGACTATTGACATTTCGGCTGGTACGTTAGTTATTTTCAAAGAACAAGACCAAAACATTTAAAATAAATTTTGAAACTTAACACTGGATTGACAAGATGTAGAAAAAATATTATTCAGTTTAAAAATGACGACAGAAACATTGATGAGAAAATTACCTCTGTGATAACGACAGAACCTCTTGGTCACCCAAATAAAGGCGAATGGTGCCGGATTCAAATCCTATGGCCTTGAGATACTTGCCACCGACGAAATCAGGTGCAAAAGCAACAGCAGTTACTGAATCGTTCTTGAAAACCAATAGATCACCAACTGATTCGCATTCACCTAATACTGAGGTTTTTTCCTTTCCTATCCTACGGGTCCACGTCACCACTTTGCCATCTCGAGAGCCTGTTCGTTGGAAGTAAATATTTTGAGTAACAAATTGATGATTGATGAAGTATTCATTTATTCATCCCAGATTTTGCGAAGCACTATGCAATTCATATGTTTCAAGTCTGAGAATGGGGATGCATCGTAACTTAATATTTTTACGGTAATAAAGTATTTGTTAGAGTTAGGGTTCTAGGTCCAAAAAATTCCAGCACAGACACAGAAGCACTATGTCATCTTTTTTTCTCGTTTTGCGGTTAGATGTCGATGTGTGACAAATTTTAACGGAAAAGCACGCCTTATGCCTCTTTGAGAGGTAAGAATGTTCTTTGCACTGTTTGCGCTCCACAAGTTGAAAATACAAAACTGTGTAAATCATCTGCTCAGATAAGCACGAAAAAGTAAGTTGATGCTTTTTTTAGTCATAACATGGCATTCCTTTCAATATCGTTTGCAACCTGCCACTCCGAAATTTTGGAAGAAACTCATGGAAATAAAACTAAAATGCATCCCTCGAAACGTTTTCTAATTGGACTTCGAAAAAGTCATATAGGCAGCTACCCCTCACCAGACTTGTGGGTCTCACCCGAAATCAGGTCCTTTATACGCCACTGTTAATACCGCAAATTCACGATACGTAAGCAATATGTCGAACCTTTCTTAAGCAAAATGTATGTAGTTAGAAATATACAAAAGAATAGTTATACCAAGAAATGAGAGACAAGGCGAATAAATTAGAGAGATAAGCCGGCCTAACCAAAATCATTGAGTCCACAAAACAGCTGCTTGCGTCTACCCACGTGTTGTAGTTCGGCGCGAGATGGTTGCCAGATAGATGATCTTTTTACGATGAATTCGTTGTATCGCTTGTATCAGAAGATTAAGTATTTTTTGTACAAATTTACTTTTGTCTGACCATTTATTCACGGAGGGAGTCAAATAATTTCTAATAGGATGCGTATTATTATTATATTTTGGGGAAATGCAAGTAGGGAATTATATCCAACAATAAAATGCGGGTCTTCTCACCGTGTTTGTCTGGTCACAGTAAAACTGAAGGAATTACTTTCAGGGATTCATCTCCCTCACACATACATGTGCAATAGGGTTTTATGCGAGGACGTTTGTTTGTGTAAGGTTTTTTATTTTTATATCACTGCCTTAAAGATTTTCTAGTCCACGTATAAGCCACGAGGTTTAGAGATAGAAGCTTGAACTACGAAAGGGATACACGTATAAATATGTGGCCAATCCTGGTGTGGCTCCCGGAATCTAGTGGGCGTCAAGTGTCTGCGCAATGAAAAATGTCAGCCTAACATGCCGCAATTTGGATGTGATTCTCACTCACGTTCTGTTGTCAGATGCCACATGCGCAACACCTGAAATTCATTTTTTGCGCAGTGTACTTCATGGTCGACATTTTTTACTTCCCTCCCACTCTATGAGTTTAACCTCGAATCTCTAGTTTTCGTTGTATGAGCGTTTTGCATTTGTGCTTGTCACTATCAGTACAAGTTGCTTTTCATAGGCGTTTAGACGTATATAAAACATAGCTATATCTGAAGATATAACTATAACGTCGCTAATCTGTGTTGAAAGTTTTGAAATCATTTTCAAAAAGTCAGTGGAAACAAAGGTTTTCTGTTAACCCTTATCTGTGTGTACAAAAGCAGCTGCATTACGGATCGACTTGTATACTAAGCAATCTTCCTAGGTTGAGCTTCGCAAGCGGTACAGTTAGGAGACTGTTCAAAAATGATTTAATAATTGCCACATCAGTTTATATACAGTGCGTTTCAAAAAGTTCCCCTTACATATTATTGAACGGGTTAAGCCGTAAAGCTAAAATTCTAGGTAATGAAATTGACGCATAAATGCGCTATGTTTAGCGTGAATGTAGCAGTTGAAAATTTCAAGATGGCACAGGACATAAAATCGCCATCTTCCAAAATGTCGATCTGACAGACTGTCAAATTTGAGCGTTTTTGTACATTGAGTCGCTTTAATGACAACCAATCATCAAAACGCTATTTTCTTTTTGAAGATAATTTATTGATATTGTTCAGCTTTCATTCCGATTAATAGTGCCGAAGTAGCTATCTGTCACTTTCTAGTTGCAAAACTATTCCAAAATCGTTCCAACCACCTTCCAGCACAGAAACAATTCTGGAATCATGACCAGTTAGCGCATGCGTATAGAAGCGTACCAAATGATAACCGGATGGTTCTGGTACGATCTACAAACTCAAGGTTTGTACAAATCCACCTATCAATCTACTTCTCTTGGAAGGATCCATCCGAATGTGTAATAAAATGTGGAACATTTCGTTAATAGGACTTGTCACAATCTGTCAAACGGAATCTCTCATATTTTATTGTAAATTTAGGTAGAATCTTCCAAAAGAAGAATAATGATATGTCATACTATAAGTAATGTACATAAGCGATGAGTAGTTGTTGACTTATGAGCAATTAAATGTACAAAAATGCTGAACTTTGACATCCTATCAGCCCGCGTCAATTTAGTCATGCCAAATTTCAGCTCCCTGGCTTGACCTGTTCAAAAAATAAGTAATGGTGACCTTTCTAAAAAGCACTGCATATGCCTCTTAAAAAGTATGCTGAATCAAATTTTTATTATTCAAACGCTTCAGAATTATTAATTTTCTTTCCTCTGATTGTAGAATCTAAAAAAAAGGCATCATTAAGCATGCCTTTTAAGAAACGGATATATAATCCACCCTATTTGAGCTCTATCGCCACAAAGATATTGGGCGTAATCGCCAATCCCAAGACCGTTCCTAGTCGGTATGAATGTAGCAGTTTCTTAACTTTTTTTTCCACAGTGGCAGCACTGCCTGACCGCTTCCTATGTAGATGCTGCGTCACCTAAGAGCGAACCGCCAAGCCAAAAGCTGTGATTTTGTTGTAAACCGATAATGCAGGCCAAACCTAAAGCAAGTGAAGTCAGTCAGTGGATTTGAAAGATATTTCACGCAGTGTCCTCACTTGGTGTAGCTACTCTTTCTCTTGACATTGGACAGCCATTTTTCTGTTGTACTTCTTGAACCAGAAGCTCGATAATTGAGCGAGAATTTCACCCGAGTTGGATGTAAACATCAAAAGGCTGAGGGTACACGGGGTACTAAGTAATGCATTGTTCTTCAGTAAATAGCTTCTTTCAGTTCCTCGATATACGATAAACTTGAAATTTCTCATTAAAACTCACCAGTAGCAAAGTACTTGGAATCGTGCGTCCATGCGCAAGTCCAGATTATCCTTGTATGTATTCCAGTTTTCTTGTCAGTAGTAGCTACCAATTCGAACTTTTCCTCTTCGTTCTTAGCAAATAACGACCATCTTCTGTCTCTTGACACTGACAACAGACTTTGTGAATCCGGTGAGAACTGTAACTGCACTACAGTTAAAGTGTGCGACATTAGCTTCTGAAGTAGTTGCCAGTTTGAGACATCCCTATAAAGTGGTCAGCATATCCGAAGTTGAACAAAAAAAAAACTGTAGGTGTTATGGTAACTGATAAAGAAGAATCAGACTCATCTACAAGAATGTAGGTATGTCTTCTTAATATATGCTGTTTATCTTTTATCATTACTCATCTAATCTATGTACAGCTTGCTTACCATATTAGGACTGCCGCATATTCTGGTTTTGTAGATTTGCAAGCAGATGCTAGAAATTTTCTGTCTGGAGAAGCTGCCAGACTATAGACTTCATAACCATGACCATACAGTTTTTGAGTTTCTGGCCATAGTGTATTTTGTAACAAGGTTTCTTCAGTTGGAGGTTCTAAAATAAAAATAGGTTAGAAGCTTGTTTCTCTCACAGTGCGTATCTTGGAATCACTAAACACTCTTCTTACCGTCTAAGGTAGTCGCGACAAAGTGGGATTCTTCTGGATATGGATTTTTAGCCATGGGAATAGTGTCTTCTATATTATCGTCCCCATAAACAGCCTTATTTGACAGTCCTAGCGAAGGTACTGAAGCGCCTTTAGGAGCTATTTGATTTTCTGAAATACCAAATAGACAGTAGGTTATTTTAAACACGATACAGTGTGTTCCTCAATAATGTACTCCAAAAAGTTTAGAAAATGAAATATTGTTTTTTTGGGTGTTATGACCCGAACATCACGAAAAATCATGTCACTCATTCCTGCCTGTCGGTGTGTATGTCTGTCTGTCCATCCGCTAAGTCTATAACCGCATATAATTTGAGAAGTACCACTATCACTTCGATTTTGATGAAATTTAAACAATGCTACTAAAGTGTTTTTTAATATCTATGTCCGAAATATGGCAACATTTTCCCATGGAACGCAAGACGGTTCGGTTGCAGATCGAGCAGTTCGTGTAAGACGCAGAAACGCGCGGTTAAGCGAGAATATTGTTGCTGTTGCTGAAAGTGTAGCTGAAGACCCAAACCTTTCGATTCCGCGTCGTGCACAAGGAATTTGCCTTTCTGCGACCTCGAAATGGAGAATTTACGAAAAGACTTAAGCAGGTATCCATATAAGATCCAGGTGACGTAAGAACTGATGCCCCACAAGATCAGCAAGCGCATCGAACTTTTGCTGATTGGGCTCTGGAACAGTTGGGAGAGGATCCAGAATTTTTACAAAAAAAATCATTTTCAGTGATGGTTAAACGGCTGCGTGAATAAACAAAATTGTCGCATTTGGGGAGACAGTAATCCACAAGACTATCAAGAGTCTCCATTGCATCCGTAAAAACTTACTGTTTGTTGTGGGTTTTGGTCAGGCGGCGTCATTGGACCGTACATATTCTAAAATGACAATGGCGAGACGGTGTCTATCAACCCCGCCTGGTATCGGGCCATGATAACTGACTTTTTATGGCCTCAATTGGATGATATGGACCTGAACGACATGTGGTTCCAACAAGACGGCGCAACATATCAGACATCGGCCATTACATTGCCGCCGTTGTAAAAAAAGTTTCCAGGACACGTTATTTCCTGAAAAGGCGATGTGGAATGGCCGCCAAGATCGTGCAACTTAACGCTCTTAGACTTAAGTCGCTGGTTCCTGACAACAAACTAACAACAATTCACCGACTGGAGAACAACATCATTCAAAACATTGATGAGATCCAGTCCGACTTATGCGGCGGATCTAGTCCTGTAAACGAAGTCGCGGAGGCCATTTGAATACTGTAATTCTTAGAACGTAGAAGTACTGAAAGTATTCATATGTCGCACACAACTCGTTTTATTCAATTTCAGACACACATAATGAACAATCCGAAAGCCCGTTATAGCTTTTAAAATGGGCGCCGGCATAACCAACGAAATAAAAATGGCTAAAACTTCGCTTTTGACGTTTTAGATGATCCTCATCGCTTTTGAAAACACTTCTAGAAGTAAAAAGCTTCGGGGGTGGGGAGGGTATATAATAATTTTTGATGTACATCTACACGCTTCCTTTCAAACATATTTCACACTTCGTAGATTTCCTCGCAAATTTAGCCCTTAGAAATATTCTCAGCAGACGAATCGCGTACCTAAAGGCCGAGTCTGGTTCTGCTCCTAGCCGCGTATCGGTCCTAGTAAGTGTTCTGGTATTACTGCCGCGCCATAGCGTAGTGTTTCCTCTGCTGTGGCGCTGGTGCCACGTCTGAACATGTTAGATATTGGAGAGAGACGACGTTGCCAGATGGATTGCCAGTAGAGAAAGCAAAGAATGTCTCTGGGCTAATTGTATGGGCCTGTTTGACTGACAGGGTCAAGTTTGTACTGAACATAATCATTTATGAACCGATAACGACGTTGCGTGGAAAGTGCAGATTCAACCTGCTTGTCCCCATTTTTCTCAGATGTACCGCTTTTGACGCCACAAGGGCAAAATAGACGAACCCTTTATATCAAAATACAGTAGCGGACAAAATTTTGAAAACATTGTTAGTAATTTTTAAAACTTTTTTATTCTTTATTATTAAGGACTATTTTTTTCATATAGTTTTCTTACAATCTTAAGGATACAAATGACAATTTTTGTTTGCTGTGGTACTACGAGTACTGACTAGCACTAAAATACCTGCATATTATTTTATCACCGAAAATGAGACAACAAAAGTATGGAAACATATTTATTATTACAAAATTAAATACAATAACTATACAAAGAGATTTAAAAAATACTGTTTAATATTCGGGGGCATAGCCTCTAGCATTCAGCACTGTCTGACATCTGCCGCTCATAGAAGACACCAATTTTTTACAGACTTTTTTTAGTTTTTTCTTGTCAGTTGTCTTTTAACATGCTCCCAGAGATGTTGTATAGGGCTTAGGTCAGGGGATTGGGAAGGCCACATAAGAACATTAACATTTTTTAGCCTTAACCACTCCTTTTCGAATTTTGAGGTATGCTTGGGGTCATTATCTTGCTGGAATGTCCATCGTAAAGGCATTTCTTCTTCAGTAAAAGGGAGCATGTGTTCACTAAGAATATCTTTGTGAAGTTTTTGATCCATTTTCCTAAAAATTTTAACAACTGGACTCGTTCTAGAACTAGAAACACAGCCACAATCCATGATGTCTCCACCGTGCTTAACTATTGGCAACTGATACTTTTTGTCGAATCTTTTTCGTATTGGACGACTCACATATGCCGTACCGTCAGATCCAAACAAGTTAAATTTGCTTTCATCGCTCCATAAAACTGAATTCCATTGTTGTTCGTCCAAGTTAGATGGGTTTTAGCAAATTCAAACCGAGCAATACGATTTTTTTAAATGAGAGGCTTTTGCACTGGACTCCTACCAAAAAACCCAAAATCTGCCAAGCGTCTTAACACTGTTCTGACAGAAAAATTCTCGGTACAGTTTTCTACGATTCTTTTGTAAATCTGTGTTGCTGGCATTCGAGGATCTTCATGGGACAAATGTTTAATGTAGCGATCCAAAACATAGTTGTTTTTTTTTTCGATCTTCCGCACATGGGCCGCGTTGCTGTTCATCCGTATTCTTGATATTCACTAATAATTTTCGATATCGTCCCTTTGTTCATTTTTAATCTTTGAGAAATGTCAACATTTCTGACACCACTTCTAAATAATTCAATCACCTTGTCTCTTAAATCTTTTGATAATTCTTTTACTTTTGCCATTTTCACTGATACTTAATATTTACCGCACGTAATATCAGAGTAGCGCAGAACGAATAAATATGGCAAAACTAAAATGTTCCCATACTTTTGTCGTAACTGTGGTATTTAAATAAACGCGTGTTTTTAATTTCAGAGAATTTGAACATTTATAAGATAAACCTTGTATTAGTACGGGAGACGAAGGACTTTATTATTTATATTATCTGTTCATTCACAATTTTAATTTAGGTATATCAAATAGTTCATAATAATGTTAATATTTGTTTCCAAACTTTTGTCCGCTACTGTACGTCATTCTACATCCTGCTATAGTGTGATAAAATTAAAAATGTATACAGTACATTCAAGAATAAAAATAAAAACAATTTTTTTCATTGCGAACATAAACTTCACTTCATAAAATTATCTGAGAAACCATATTCTAGAAAATTATCACGTCATTGTACAACTCAAGCATGCAGGATGAGTAAAGATTACTATTACAACCAATGGTGATGGTGCAAAAAACACACGACAAACTTACTTGCTAAAATAACATCCCCTTCCTCATCCTGTTCTATTTTGCAGATTCTTCTGAAGTTCTCTACAAAATTACTGGGCGCTTCAAATGTTCTGATAACCTTCTCCTCAGCACCGGAGGCAAATTGGTATCTTGATATTAGTGCCAAACAGCTCAGATCGTGTCCGTGTACTTGAGGTCTCGCTATTTCATGCCAAGTTAACTATAAATGAAAAAAAAGATAAAATCAATAAGCTCGATTCTCTAATGAAACTAGAGATTCAAGAGATAGCAGCAGAAAGATTTATTTAGCACGTCTGGCTACATAAACAGAATAACTGTAAGCAACTTAGAATTAGTGAATTTAAGCCATATGAGGTGTGGGCAATCTATAATTGTAGATTTGATGATGTTAAATTAGTTAGACATGGTGGATTATATTATTTGTTACTTTACAAATGAATATCATTACAAGATTACAAACATTATTCTCATGCACCTGTTTTGTAAAATTTGCACTCTTTATATATTCTTAATGTTTGAAGGTTACTAAGTGTTAATCAAAATTGTAAGGTACCTCTTTGTCCTTATCCTTCCATGACGCGTGTATCCTAGTCGTTTGATCGGCACTGCATGTGTATAAAAACTGTCCCTGGGGTTCCCAGGCGCAATCAACAACTTCGGAAAAATGTCCACCCACAGTCACACACGGACTCCATGTTGCTGTTTTGTCAGAGTACTTCCAAATATGGAACGCCCCATGATAACTGTGAGCCATGATTCTTTCGCTATCTGGACTGAATAATCCACCATAAAAGCCTTGAATGAAGAGAATTTTATTATTACTTATGCCACAACACTGACTATACTATAACACTAACTATTAGTATAGTTAGACTTCCTCTTACAAGATTGTTGACATCCTTAGATTATTAAATATATCGTAATCCTCCATCTTTATCTGTCCGCTAAATAAAACCACATATGTTGAAAGTACTGTTAACTAATATGCCATTTCGTTTACTAATACGACCACGGTAGCCTTTTGCAAGAACAAATGACGATTTTGATACCATTTGATGTCATCATCCGTCGTCCTATACCCGTTTTACATTGAAAATAAATCCTCGGATTTCTTCATGAACTCAGCTCATGGCGAAATTTCAAAAGTGTAAAATCTCCATGAAGTTCGTCGTGGATTTCTTCGAATTCTGTAATTTTTGGACGTCAAATTCATTTCCACTACGAGGCTTTTCCGGAAAATATGTATAAAAGTGGAATAATAGCTTTATTTTACAATTGTTCAGGTATTTCAATATGGTCTCCTTCAAAGTACTCCCCCTGAGACAAGATGCTCTTCTGCCAACGCCGTTTCTAATGTTGATACGATCGCTGAAAGTCTTCAATTGTGAGGCTCTTCATTTGCCGTGCCGTTTCTGCCTTGATGGCTTCAACATCCCCCAAGTGCCGCTCCCGAAGCACCTTTTGCATTTTGGGAACAGGAAGAAGTCGCTAGGGGCTAAATCGGGTGAATAAGACGGGTGTTCTGTCGCGGTGATTGAGCTTCAGGCCAAAAACTCACGCACAACGAAGGACGTAGGGGCAGACGCGTTGTCGTGATGAAGGATCCACCTGCCCCCGTGTGCCAAATCCGGTCGGACTCGGGTCATACGAGCTCTGAGTACGACGCAAAACTTCAATGTAGAAATTTCCTTTCACTGTCTGGCCGGGAGGGACAAATTCCTGGTGATCAATGCCCCGAGAATTAAAGAAAACAATCAACATTGTTTTCACATTGGACCTTGATTTTTTCGAGTTTTTTGTTCTCGGATCCCCTGCTTGCTTCCACTCCATTCTTTGAGGTTTCAGCTCCGCATCGGATTCGAAGAGACTCGTCTTTAATGATGACCCGGTTGAGAAAGTCGCCCCTTTCCTCTGCTTCTAACCAATCCCCACATCATGCGACCCTCCTTCCTTTCTGTTCTGGAGTCAAGAGCTTCGGAACGATTTTCGCGCACAATTTTTTCAGTTCAAGTTTTTCTGTCAGAATTTCGTGGATGGTTGTTTAGGGCATTGATTCCCAAAGTGGTCTATATCGACCCCTAGGGGTCTATGACAACCTGCAAGGGGTCTACGTCAGCGAAAAAAAATTTGGGGGTCCATGAAATGAATATGGGGGTCCACGATAGTGGATCTCAACACATACACTGATAGTACCTATTTACTTACATCATACTATCTTATAATATCAAAACATATACATTATTTATAAAAGTACCTATGAAGTAAAAAATGTATTATATATGTTTATAAAATTGTGTAAGTTGTAGGATGTTGGTATTCGCTTTGTGGTCGCAATACATTTTGAACTTGTAAAAACCTGAGAGAGTCTCAGAGCTTCGCTACCTTGCACTGACTTGTTCAATTCGTCACTCTATAAATACGAATGTGGGACAAATACGTTTATTCGTTTCCTGAATCTTGAAAAGGAAAGTGCTAAGAAAATATTTTAAAAAATATAAACAGATACTATATCACACAAATTATAGTGAGTCAGTGTTATTTTGTTTGAGAGTGCTGGAGAAAAGTACGTAGTCGTGCCATAAGTTCTGTCCCATGATAATCTCATGATAAAAATGAAACAAGATAAGATATATTTATATGAAAGATATTATTTATTCGACAACATTTTTAGAATTCATAATCAAACAGTTTTCAAAATGTCCCCCCTTGGCCTTCACACACTGCTTCAATCTCGCGGGCCACTCATCTATCACTGCACGCACAGCTTCCAAAGGAATAGCTGCCGCTGATCGGATCAAATCCGCTTTCAGGGACTCGATATTACGGTGGGCTTTGGAGCAGGCCAACTGCTCTAGCAGGTCCCACAACTTGTAGTCTAAAGGATTGAGGTCCGGACTCCCTGAGGGCCAATCTTCCGCAGCAATGAACTCTGGCACATTGCTTTCCAGCCAGCGCTGCGTACTCTTAGCCTTGTGAGCGGGGGCGGAATCCTGCTGGTAGACCCAGTGTTGGTTGGCAAACAATGTACCACTTAAAGGCTTGACGATAGGATCCAGTATGTCGCTCTGATAGTTTGCCGCTTTTGTTTTCACGCCCTGTTTACAGAAATGGAGCTGAGTGACCCCTTCGTAGGACACCCCCCACCAAACCATGACTGACGCAGGGTGGTGGCCTCTCTCAACTCTCGGAATGATCTCCGAAGCTTCCTGTGAACTCCTTGCATACACTTTGTCATTTTGTCGGTTGAATTTTTCTTCTATGGTGAAGATTTTCTCATCCGTGAACAAAATCTTTCGGAATCCCCCAGCTGCGTACCTCTCCAAGAGCTTCTTGGATCTTGTCGCCCTGATGTGTCGCAAGGTGGCCGTAAGTCGCTGGCCCGTACGTCTCCGGTAAGCCCCTAGCCCTAGGTCTTGTTTAATGATGCGCGACATCGTCCGGACAGGAATCTTCATTTCCCTGGATAGGATCTTCTGCTTCCGGAGTGGATTCCTTTGAATCCTGGCTTTTACGGCTTTGATGGCTGCTGGAGTCCTTACTTGACGAGGTCTTCCGAATCTTGGCCTGTCATCAACAGAGGACGTCTCATTGTACCGCTGAATGGTCCTAGACACAAATTTACGCGATATTTGAAGGCCGCGTAAGAGTTCAAAAATCTGACTAGCACTGTGATTACACTTATGTAAAGCTATCACTGCAATACGGTTCTCTGCCTTGCCCCACTCCATCGTTATGCTTCGAGAGATCAATACAAACTGAGGTATATGTAATTACCCGAAAAGCGCTTAATCAACTGACACCACAATGTAAACAATCGGACAAGTATTAACAGGTCTACACTTGTTTGTAAACGAGGGACAGAACTTATGGCATGACTACGTAAATACATTATTTTTTATTCAATTTTAGTTTTGTACTCGTAGTTAGCAAAGATAGATAAATTACGCCAATCATAACTTTAGTTATTAGTTATTAGTAGTTAAATATTCAATCATGCAAAATTACACGAGTACTCCTCAATAGTTTCTTTTTGAACGTTTTAGCAATCGGTAATATAATTACAGTGCAATCTCCGTAATTCGAACTAATTGTTGCAAGATGTTCGAATTATGGAATGTTTTCGGAAAAATCAAAAAATATTTTTAATATACAGCTGCTGGATTTTCTGTCTTATTTAGATAATTTAATTTTGCCCACAGATGACTGATGCCATGTCCGAATCTAAAAAGAAATGTAGACAGTACAGTGTTGATTATTTGAAAATTGGCTTCATTCCATCATTGCCGGACAAACAATCGCCTATGTGCCTTTTATGCAACAAAGTTTTGGGCAATGACGCTATGAAACCATCTAAACTGCAAGATCAACTGAGAAGATGCCACCCTGATAAAACAGAGAAAGACTTGAAATACTTTCAAACACTCAAAGATAAATTCCAGAAGAGACCTACACTGGACAGAATGTTCGCTTCGACTTCACAAAGAAATGATGATGGTTTGCGGGCGTCTTACAATGTCTCGTTACTCATAGCAAAATCCGGAAAACCGCATACTATAGGAAAGAAGTTAATTTTGCCAGCCGTTTAAAAGGTTTTAAAAACTGTTTTACCCAAACCTGCATCTGATATCATTAAAAAAGGGTTACTTTCAACAAGCACAGGTAAATCCTACTTACTCGGAGAGCGCTCCGGCTCGAACTGTGAATAGAGGGGATTGCATAGAGAGAGGAAACCACCGAGCCACCCCTCCACAACGCCTTGACACGACGCCCCAAATTTTTATACGTATTTTCCGGAAAAACTTCGTATATTGAACAACTTAGATTTACAGAATTCAACAATATAGTTTCTGTTTATGAGATTCCCCTCAAATAGACATAAAGGTTCAAAACGTTTCTAGCAAGAATTTGTTGTGTGGTTGGTAGCACTCAGTACTGACAGATAATCGATAAATTTATCCATTGATGTAAAAGCCGCAAAACATAAGAGATTTTTTCGCGAGATCCCGTAGTGAGCCGGAGCGGGAACAGATGGAATTTCCCCTCCCTCTCGAAGTTTTGACAGTTTCAAGTTACACCGGGAGTGGTTAGATGGCGCATGTTGCGCAAAATGTTTGTTTTGAGCTCCTTGATAAACTTAGCTACCTTGTTTGAATCTGAAATAAAAAGATCGATTGGTTTTTTTGCAATATACATATATATCAATAAAATCAATCATTTGATATGACACGTGCGGTTCATATGTCTTCCATGACCTTCTCCCTCGTCATTTAAAATCAGGAGGACGTGTTCCTCCATTTATGATTTAATAATTTTACTCAATTTTCGGCACTGCGAAGACAAATTTTCAATTGAGATGCCTGTTTTTAAATGACATTGACAAAAGACCCATCACCCGCTAGTACCTCACAGACGTTAGGCGAGTACCCGTACCACATGATTTTTTGACATTCGGACGACGTCTCATCCGTCTTCTCCTATTCCCGTTTTTCGCGAAAATTTGTATATTGGCTCCCGGTAGTGCACTGTGCTACATCGTGGACTCCTCCTAATAAATTCGTGAAGAAACTGTTGATGTAAAACGGGTATTAATAAACAGTATTTCAAACATTTTTTGCTTTCATTTAGTGGTCAGACAAACAGGGAGGATTATCAGCATAAAAACCACAGGATAAGTTTCAGTAGTTACACTAAAATATATTGTGTTTGAAAATGTACCTAAAGTGTTGCCTCCAATTTCGCCGACTCGGATTTTCTCGAGCCATAAGCCAGCTTCCTGGTTATATTCCCACAAAACCATGGTTTTATCAATAGATGCTGATAGTAACTGCAAATCCTTGTGACTCCAATTAACTGAATAGATCCACCCTTGATGACCTTCAAGTATAAATAAAATGTTAGGATTAAGCTATGTTCAGAAAATGAAGGATGATCCTGCATTGTAAGTCCAGTCATGACCTACTGCATAACAAACTGTACATTTTTTTTTATTGAAGGACTGTCCTGACTTCGGTAATAAATATCCTGTCAATTCTAGAAAAATCAGTGTTCATCAACCAGGGTTATTTTAAAATATGACATGATTAAATGTTTCATCCAATTACAGGATACTTTTTTTTGTTATCACATAGTATATATCCTTGGTAATTAAGCTAAAAATTTGATTGGTTTTATATAGTTACGACGACGACCATATACTGAATTGTGTTGTGAAACAAAACCGAGCTCTCTTCTACCGCTACGCCAATGAGCTTTGCTCCTGACAGACAAACCCGCCTGACTTCGGCCTCCCATCCTAACCGTGTCGAACTTCGTACATCCAGAACTGGCCGATACGACCGCTCCTTTGTCCCTAGGGTATCGAGGTTGTGGGACAATCTACATGATGAGGCTTTTCCCAGTTCTACTAACCTTAGGCAGTTCAAAAATCGGATTACGAGGGATGTCTTTTAAGTTTTGCATATGGAAATAAAACAACATGGTAGCTAGTTTTAAATGACCTTATTGTTTTTCGAAGTATTCTCCACGAAGATTAATACACATCTGCATGCGCTCGAACCAATTTTCGAAGCACTTATTCCACTCGTTTACTGGCAGATCTAAAGCGGCATTTTTAAATGCGTCAACTGATTCTTCTGGTGACTGGAACCTTTGACCACGCAGTCTGTTTTTAATTTTCGGGAAAGTAAAGAAATCGTTAGGACTTAGATCGCGACTATATGGAGGATGGTCCAATAATTCTACGTTTTCTTCCATTAAATACTGCCTTGTTTTTTGGGCTGTGAGCAAGCTTGCATTGTCCTGGTGGAGGATGATTTTTCTTTCGGGGTTGATTTTTAGAAGCTCGGTGATGAATTTAGGCATGTAAAATTTTTTGAGAGATCTGCAAAGACGCCTCAATCTCGCGATATGTCACATGTCTATCTTCAATGATGAGTTTGCGCACAGCATCGACGTTTTCCTGGGTGACTGCCGTTTTTGGTGCACCCACCCTGGGATTGTCGCTAAGACTCACCCGTCCAAGTTTCAATTCTCCATACCAACTTGAAATTGTCGACTGATGTGGCGCTTCGTTGCCGAAAACAGACAGTAACTCAGCAAGGCATTCCTGTTGCGATAATTGTCTCTAAAAGTTGTATTTAATTATGGCGCGAAAATTGTCTCGGTTGAGTTCCATTTTTCTAATGACTTGGTGACACTTAAAAATTCACTGTAGTGAGAACACTGCACGTATTGCTGCTGTGCTTGAATTTAAGTTTACTAAAGAGTGAGGTTAAGATCCAGTACGGACGTTCGATCCGCGCGGCATACTATGTTTCTATATGCAAAACTTAAAAGACATCCCTCATAACAAAGTTTCATTAAGCTCCTTATAACAGCCGCGGTGCCCTGGCATTTAGGCTTCGCTTAAGTGACTGCTTCAGTGTAAAAGAAAAGCCGATATTCGTAGGAACGAAACGTATAAAAATCTCGAAAACTATGAGAGTTTTACTAAAACAGAATTTTGTCATTTAGTAGGTAATGACATGACCTACTTGCAGCTGCAGGATAATCCTTGACTTTTTGGATACCCTCTATTTAAAATAGTAATGAATACCTGTTAAAACGGATTCTAAATAAACACTATATGTTTCATTTCTTGTTTGAATAGTTGATTTTTCTGTTTTGATTCCGGCAAAATCCCCAGTGTCTCTACCTTTTGCAGTTATCCTCCAAAGCCTTATAAATTCATCCTGAGAACATGATGCAAGTATCATGTCCCCATCTGTAGAAGAACAAGAAGGTTAATTCACATAAAACAAACATTAGGGCATGAAAACAAATAAATACCTTTCTGTTTAAAGTCCAATCCTCTCACCCAATTTTCATGGCCCTCCAACTCAGCAGTCTTGATGAATATCAATTCATCACAATTGTCTTCTCTGTATATTCTGATTCTAGAGGTGTCCAGAGCACAAGCCAGCAACAGCTCAGTGCAACCCAGTAGGAATGTTAATTTTACAGCTACAGATATATTATAGCCTAATTCTATTGTTTGTTGCAAATGAAATTCACCTAAAAAGGTTCACAGAATGTCAAGGCAGTGTATAAATTAATACAGAAAATCTAGACATACAGACTACTCAAGGATTAGATTAAGATTAACTGCTTGAGTGAGACGATAATGTCTCTGCCACTTTCCAAACGTAAAAAATTAATCTATGTCTATATTTGATACCTTGAAGGTCACTTCGACACCAAATCTTCATGGTACAATCCATGGAAACTGAAACAACCACTGCATCTCTCTGGTTCTCGCTTTTATATAATCCATCAACTATATTCACATTTGACTGATGCCCTTCTAGTTTGGAAGCTACATATTGCCCTTCTTTAAGACTCCATACTACTACTGTATGATCTGTAGACCCGGACACAAGCTCTGTCTCGAAACTTATGCCAGGACCTGAAATCCACTTAGTGGAGTTCACACGTTTTTGATGCCCTACCAAGCTGTGGGTTACTTTGCCTCCACTGCCATACTGAAAAATTTTTTAGGTTGACTAGGTTAAGACCATTTTTATCTAAAATGAGTTTGATACGTTAAGCCCATGATAATATTGTGAATTTTCATTTGCTATTTGCAGGGTCCATCCACCTGTAATAATAAAGAAGTTATAGCTTCTTCATAAATCATGTTAAGTCACACGCTGCATGAAAACTCACAATATTATCATGAACTTAACATATGGAACTTATTTTAGGCATTTATGGACTTGACTTTGCCTGGCTCTGAGTTACTGATATTCATTATATCTCAAGTGACATAACTCGATATATTTTAAAATGGAATAAAACCATGTATGTGAGGTGTTTCCTTCTTTATTCGAAAGGCTAATTTGAATGAAATATGCAACTGTTCACTGGGGTTTTACACAGTGCAATGGATTGAACAGGTTCAATTTTTAATGATTTTCTTGCAGGGATCAAACTGAATTAGAGCTACATCCTGGGCTGTGTTGACTTTAAAAGTCAGTAAATTTGCACATAATGGCTAAGATCTGTGACTTCGGGTAGCAATGCATCCACAAAAAGTTGTTTGGTAAATTCGCCTGTATAACCATATTTAGAACTAAATGAATAACTGACGAGTTGCAAAGACTTACATCAGGATCGTATATGAACACTGCATTGCAGGCTCCATATGAAATTAAGTTATTTTTGCCCCAGTCCGCTACTGTTGGAGTCTGGTTGCAGTTAGATGATATGTACCTCGTGTGGAATTTCATCTTAGATCTTCTTTTTAAGAAAACTGCTACAGATATTTAAAGAATAAATAATTTTGCTTGAATATACAAAACAGCTTTACAATTTTAAACGAATCATAACCTCAACTCAAACCAAAACAAGAAAAAAAATGTGCAATTGACATGGAACATGCAAAATGTTGGTGGTTTGTTGATTCTTTGCAGTGTTGCAAGAGCTAAGATTATGGTCGGGCTGGCACACTATCATAAAACAGGGGGGCATTTATTATACAGGTTGTGTCAAAAAAGGAAAACAAAAACCAAACATCGTGATAAAATATAACATAAAACTTTAATAAAAAGAACATTTGACTATAAAAACCAAAACAATATTCCAAATTACTGTCAAACAACAGAACATTCAGCATGCCGTCATATTAAAAAAATATCGCAAGAAACTAAAAAACAAAAAGCATATGCCATTTCTGTTTTGCATAAAAAATTGAAGTTTTTGAGTTACTTAAACTTAGTCACTGTCTGTATCAGATTCTTCTTGTTGCATTTCTGTTGCCTCTATAGGTACTATATAAATTATTTGTATTTTTAAATGTTTTTCACCTCCACCAACTCGAAGTCTAAGCAACAACATTTTTTGTATTGCATCCAGTTTGATAAGTATCGCGAACAAAGTTGAAGGTAAAATACGATTCCTTTTCTTTGTTTTGATTATCTCTATATATGACAATGTCCACTCGACATCTGCATTACCATGTGACAAATGTTGAAATTATTGGACATAGGTACTTTGGAAATACAGTTCACAGATTGTGTTCTTATTACCTACTACCATCTATACGCGCGTTATAATACAGAAGATTTACCCCTACCACTAAAGAAGAGGATCGAGTTTCCCTGGATCAGCGCTTTGCCTTATCCAGTCCTATTTTATTGTATTCAGAGTTGGTCAGTCTGTTGTTAGCGCTCATACTACATACATCAATAAAATTGTATTTTTGATAATCGAGAATAAATCTTTTTAAAAAGCAAGTAGACTGACTCGGTCAGATAATTGGCGCAGCCAGATCGGATTTTCGGGCTGTTTCGCGAATCAATCGAGACCGCGAAAGCAGTTTTCGTATCGACGAATTTACCGGAAAAACGGCCTACGGACTAAAGACTTTGGTGAGTGGGAGTTCGAGCGGAACCGGTCTATCGAAGACACCGTGTGCAGCTACCACCTACGAAGTCAGGGATTTGGACCACACATCGCCCAAATCTACAAGCGGAACATTTTGGAGAAGGACCAGATCGCCCAACCAAGATCTTCCGCTTATAGTTAAGCAACCAAGTAAAGACAAAGAAAGAAACGTGATGCACTTGATCATCCTCGTATTAGCGTAAGTGCAACTATACATTTTAAATGTTTTTGGAAGATATTGCAGAGGCTATAGATAATTTGACACTTTCAACAGACTCACCTATTTTAAGACCACCTAGATTAAATATTGAAAATATTCCAAGCATGTCTCAATTCAGACCAGAATTTTTAAATTGCGTCCCAGAGTTTGACGGAAATCCTAATGACTTAAATAGGTTTCTATCAGTGAGTGAAACATTAATTGCAAAAATTTTTGATAATCGAGAATAAATCTTTTTAAAAAGCAAGTAGACTGACTCGGTCAGATAATTCGCGTCTCCGTTGAATAAGAATTACCGGCCGGTGGTTACCACTGTCGATTGGAAAGAAATCTGTATTTAGATTTAGTTACTAACTGCACTCATTTTTTTTCTGGTAAAAATATCCATCATGTGTACCTAAATTGCAAAATTCCGCTACTTTTAACAAAAAATCCAATTCCGCCGCTCTGCCGCACTTGAAAATTCGGCGGAATTCCGCTACTTCTGGCAACACTGATACTCTGTGCGTTACGAGGTCTACCAATTTTTTTTAATCTAATGCAAAATTTAACGAACAACATAATCCAAGAATAGTAAATTCTTCAAAATAAAGTCATTTCAACAGCATTTTCACTCAGCTGCATACGTTTTTTAGTTTCGTCTATGCAATAATTCCAAAATCTACTGAAAAGCTTAAGCAATTCTACCGAAAATAGATCGATTACATCAGGCAACACTGCATGACTGCATCTGTCAGTTCAAATTTTTTGGTTAGGTTTGTGGGTTAGATGTTAGGTGTTGCGATTGTCAAGAGTTTATGAGAAGAGATCACGAAGGGAAGAAAAAGAAAACGCAGACAGCAGCTATCCAAATATCAAATAACAACTTCATAGCCTTCAGTTTGTAATAAATATGTTACAGTCAATTCGCAACTTCATCAGCTATTGGTACTTCAGGTATTTATTGGTTACCGAGCTTTACATGGTAGAAAAATGGGAGAGGACGATGTTTCGTATCCTTTGAATACATCAATTTCTGTCGTAAGGTACTTATATCAGGTTGCCTAGATACCGTCATTAATTATTATACGTTTTCCTTAACATTTCACCAGATATTGTCTTGTTCATAGTATTATCAGTACTCTACATTTTCAACACAACGATAATGCTGAGTCTGGTTAAATTGTTGACAAGCAACCTGTTTCATGGAGGTGATACACTACAACGTGATAAACTGGTGCCTGTTATGCAAAATTCCGAACTGTGATGATAACTTAGGTATATTATTTTATATTATGTTTTATGAGTAGCCATGAGTCAGTATTTAAGATTGTAATGTTTGCTGTATACACATAAACAGTTTTATTAGGAGCCACTAAAAATTTTAATAGAGTTGACCTAAATTTATGTTTTCTGTTTTACTTGATTACTTAATGATTCCCAAATATAAAAGGTTTTTCCTTTGATCTGATAGACAAATACATTTTTTAAAAGTTGTCAACAGGTCAAGGTTGCTGGATTTTGGCATGCCAACTTGACACTAAAAAATTCATGTTATGTTTAAAAATATGGGGACTACCTTGGCTCCGCTCATGCTTGATTTGTTGCCAGATTATGGGCAAGACCTTTACTCCAAATTCCACTTTCATTCATTTTTAATACTATCCTCTATTTATGAATAACAAACAGTTTGTAATATTGTATGAATTTAGTTTATTAACAGGAAATGCAATAATTGCTACAATTCGATATTTGACAATATACACTGGAAAAATTTAAAAATCGTAATATTCTTCCACTGAATGTGTAGTGTCTCAAACTTTTAGGGCCTATTTATGCACCTGATTTGTGCCAACAATGTCAGTGAACAATGTTTGACATACTAGTGTCATGTTGATCACATTTAGAGAATAAGACAACTATATATCAAGCACTGTTGAAGAACATTGTAGCTCTTCAGGAACCTCCTGCATCCATGGCCCTCTTTTTATACCTAAAGATAAGTTTTTTTTCGTCATCAGAATGCATTGTCTCCCAGTAAAAAGCCATGTATTCAAAAAGACTATATTTACTGTACAAAACCTAGAATTAAGCAAATGCTATAACTACAAGTCTCTTAATATTAATTGGATTGATACTGAGGGTAACTATGATAAGTATCTATATCCCATATCATAATGGTATAGATCTTAAAACAAAAATGAATATAGTCAATTTGTCTGATCATGGAAAATCTATAAGCATTCTAAGAAAGCTACTATGGAATGAATGTTTTTTAAGGTTCCAATTTACAAACTGAAATTTAAAACGATTTGTTTTCCTGAAATACTCATACTTGGCCTAAGATATTGCCCCATCGCTAACCTGGATTTATACATATCAATTGATATAGAAAATGATGGTTATATCCCCACAAATAATGTAACTGCTAGGTACCTCTTGAAAGTACTTAGGTGGGTATTTCTAAATCATTTTTAGATATTATAAGGCTCTTGTGATCCCTTAAAAAGTCATGTCGAAGATGTAATCAACTATAGATGTTTCAAATAGAAATTTATTTCTCATCACTAAAAGATGGAACATGTACGAAAATCTGCTGTCTTGATCTCTAAGGATAAGGTCGCGAATCCTTAGGGGTTTATGGATTACAGCTTGCACTAGTTAATAGTTCAGCTCTAGTATCATTCGTTTCTCGTTTGAGGACCAAATTTCCATTTGTACAAAAAGGCAGTTGCAATTCAGTAAGTTGCTACTTAAAAACAATACAAGGCATAAGTCCCATTAAAATCTCACAGAATGGTTGCATATTGCATTTTCCTTTTTGCACGAGTATGCATTTTACCAATTGTGATAGAATGACAGCTGATTATCTAGTAATATTTCATAATTCTCAATATCAAAAAAGATCACATAATTCTGGCGGATCCGTCAACGCCAGGTAGCGGAGCCGTATTTTATTTAGGTTTTTTCTATGCTACAGATTCATTCTGTAGTTGCTAACAACTCTTATTTAGAAAAGATCATTTGCATACAAAAAAAAAAACGCTACAAGCAAGTCTTACTAGATTTAAACCAGATTCATTATCGCCAACGTTACAGACTAATACCAAAAAGGTCACTTGCTGATCAGCTGTGCACCTCAGTAGACGTCAAAACGTGATGGATACTCGTGAAATACGGTTGAGTTGAGCTGAAGAATAGTTATACAGGGTGCAGCAGAGAGGATGGACGGTTTTAAAAAAATCATAAAATAGTTAATTTTTACTCGCAAACAAATTTATTGAAGGATTCAGGTTCACAAGGAAATAGCATTTGAGACAGTCAAGTGTGGAAAATCACATCAGACATGTGGTGGCCGAAATCTTTGATGCAGTGCTGGAGGCGTTCTTGGAAGTTCGCGTAGACTCTCTCCAACATCGCTCTCTCAACTTGGGCGACTTCCATGCGAATTTCGCCCTTCAATTCGTCCAGATTTCGGGGCTTGTTCGCGTATACTCTAGCCTTGAGGTGTCCCCATAAGAAAAAATCGCATATGGATAAATCTGGGGACCGAGGAGGCCAATGAACATCGCCAAACCTGGAAATAAGGCCACCAGGGAAGAGAGGGCGAAATGCTGGAACCACACACGTCGGATTGGAACACGTCGCCGTCGTAATTCAGGGAGAAAGAAGTTGGTGATCATGTCGACGTAGCGCTCTGAGTTCACGGTAACATCACGAATCACGACCATTACCGGGTTCGAAGAAGTAAGGGCCAATGATGCAAGTTTGCGATACAGCGCACCAAATCGTTACTTTTGGGCTGTGCAGCGGTCTTTCGTGTAACTGTTGCGGATATTCATTAGCCCAATAACGACAATTCTGCTGGTTAACCATGCTGTTTAGGTGAAAATGGGCTTGTCACTCATAGGTGAAAACACGGTGCTCCACCGTCCAAGGCTCCATAACGACAACTGGTAAAATAATGCTAGGATCTCACGAGTCAAACGGCACCCTCCCCACCTCTCTCGTAGACGGAGGCGGAGAGTACTACCCATCCCAAAAACGTCCTTCCTCTCTGCCGCACCCTGTATACCCTATTTCACGAGTATCCATCGCGTTTTGACGTCTACTGAGGTGAAAAGCTGATCTGCAAGTGAAAATTTTGTGTTACTCTGCAACGTTGGCAATAAAGAATCGAGTATAAATCTAGTAAAATTTGTTTACGGCGTTTTGTTTTTTGTATGAACTTTCCTAAATAAAAGAGCTGTTAGCAAGTAAAAAATGAATCTGTAGCATACACAAAGACAAAAACAATTACGGCTCTGACTACATGGCGATGTCTGACCCTTCAGAATTATGTGTCTGATATGGGGAATTTTGAGATATTACTAGATAATCAGCTGTCATTCTACCATGATGGATACTCGTGAAATAGGGTATACCAGGCAATGCGAATAAAATTAGAGATTGATAGACTGGCTAAATCAAAAATCTGATCCTTATTATTTGGAGTGAGATGTATGCCGTAAGGCCAGATTGATAACTTTTCTGCATAAATGTATTGGTCATCACTTGCAGCAAAACAGCATTTTTTGTAAAAATCTACTTTTCCTAGACATATCTATCCATGGTAGGAGTATTCAACACCCATTTGCAGTCTGTTAAATATATCTTTCATCTGTATGTTGCATGCTGTAAAATATTCAAGCAAGTATATGGATCAGAGCAATCTCAAAATATATTCGGCAATCTAATGATTCTTTCGCGTCCACCATCCGATCCCATAGTAAATAGTATTCTTAGACCCTTAGTTGGTTATCTTGTATTCATATTTTAGCAAATGATATCGTTTGAATGCGTACAGAGTCAAATATTTTCTAACAGTGTGGAAATGAATGTGAGGAATATGCAACAATAACACAACTTGGATGTTTTATTTAGTTCAATATGAATGTAGTAGTTTGTAATAATTTCTGGCTCCTTGGCAACACTGCAAGACAGATGCCGAGCCATCTAAGAACAAACTGCCAAACTAAAGCTGCCTCATTCAGGTCGCTGCATTTTTATTGTAAAATGTGAAAAATAAGGCAACCATAATGCAAACGAATTTAAAGGAAAAAATTAATATTGCCGACCACCTGCTCCAGAGATTACGCCTGGTTTTTGGCTGGCTTTCAGTGGGTAAAGCAAGATAGAGGGCAAGTGAGGATGCAAAGGGCCGTAAACCATTGACTAACTTGTAACAACCTGAAGAGAGACAACCATATACTACGTATATATTCCGATGCTTAAAAAGAAAGTTGAAGGATTTTAGCGCTATCGATGAGACAATATAGCTGAGCACAAAAATTAATCTAGAAATCTACTTTGAAAAAGGTAAGAGTGGTTGGTTCTACTAATCCGTCGTAGATGGGCCTAGGATTATCAATCCTTTTTTTATTTTAAATAGGGTATCCTTAGGTGGAATACGTTCACCAATGCCAGACACCGTGAACGGTTTCTACCCGCCATCTGTAACCCGTTGCCTACCATCGATCGCTTGCCTGCTTCAGAGTATAACCGCAACCTAAGAGTTCAGTTGCTCACTCAGAAAAGTATTTTTTTGACATATTGACTATATCATTTAAAAACCGTACGGGCCAATAGTAATAAGGACACACTCAGTGGAATATTTGCATCAACTACAACTTTCAAACAATGATAAACTGTTTGGTCAGTTGTTTACTTATTATTTATTGATAATAAAGTTAATGGACAAGCAGAAGTCTTAAAAAATCGGAAGAGTTGCGAGACATAAATATGTTGTGGACTTTCGGTACTGAACTTATAGTGGTCGCGCCACTTGATTAATCTCTGACACTGACATTTCTACCTTCTTCTAACACGTATAGTCAAAATCACGTAAGATGACTATTACGTCACACCATAAATGGTACTGAAGTAATCAATGGACGTAAGTCGATGATAAATTCACGATGTCAGGAACATAATGACAACTAATTTATGGTATGATTTTGCGAAGTTAGGTTATTTCACTGATTATTTTTATTTTCCTTTTATTTCATGGTTTTGAGTGATACCTTAATAATAATTCTAGTGAGGAGTTTTTGTTTTGAAAAAAAAGTTATGAGTAGAATAGATTAAGACAGGAACACCAAAAACCAAAGTATTATTCGAAAACAACCTAACCTACTTTAACATAACCTAACTATTCATCTTTCAAATATGATCGATCATGCAACATGAAAACATCGTCTATCTTTGTCGGATACATGCAAATTAGCAATACGGTTTGTTTAGACAATAAAATTCTGTTTGTCTCTGTCTAACATATCTAAAACTTCATTAAAAATATTCACAAATCGCTGTCGTTAGTCTTTACTGCAGACTAAAATGATGACGTAATACTCATCTTTCGTGATTTCGACTATAGTAATGTGAAAAATATCGGTTGCTTGACTAGCGTTATGGATTGATCAATACGACCATTATTAGTAAAATTAATAACGGCTTGAAGCATCGGGGCTTCCCAGAAAAGGAATGCTCTAATTTAGTGTACATTCTGCTTTGAATTGTTTTTTTATTGTATCGACCCCCAGGTGTTTTAAAGTAACTCAAAAATGTGTCCACATGAGCTCATTTCAATACTTTAGCTATGTTCATGTGTATCTTGCTTGCCCAGTTTTGCTGATGTGACCTAGGGTATGCCCAGGCATATCCACAACAAATTAAATTCGAATCTCAACACTAGTAACTGTACGTTATCAACTTGTCCATTAATGGCTTGTTCATCAATAAATTCTAATTCGATATTGATTATCAGTACAATCGAGTAATATCGTTTATTTGGTCTTGCTTGTGCCATTCGAAAACGAACGTCCTAACATGGTGCTTAGTATTTTGGCACATATTTTGGCAAACAGTCGCGCACATCACTTAACAGTATTAATTACAAGAAACATTACAAACAGGATTGGGGATGTATATAAAAGCATATGAATGAGATCAACTTCATACCCATAACTTTACATAACTCTGCCAAAGAAATTTGCAATGTTGTCGGGAGTTGTAGGAATGGTTTTGATGAATACTAGTACTGTGTATTTTCTACTCCAAGGGATCACATACCACATTCACATGATATTTTTCTATTAATTTGCAAGAACTGTTCAGTTTTTTTATCGGCAATTATTAGAAATACCCATACATAAGATTATCTGGAGTAAGCATGATACCTCTTGAGCCTTTTTGAGTTGCCTTTCAAGGCAGTTTTGATTATTAAGCTCATTTATTCAAAAATGGACATCACCGTTTATGAAAAAATATAAATAAAAGATTCAAAGACGGTGACTAGGACAGTTCCAGTGGCGACGCGTGACTTTTCCTAAACTGTTACCAAAAAAAGTTTATTTTGAACCTCCCAAGTATAAGTTTTGCGTATTTTAGGTATTTTATTTAAACTATTTTTAAATTAAGGTAAATATTCCTGGACTGAGCGCCTGGGACACTTGATATACCTCATCGTCTTATGCTATAACTAATCCAAGCCGTCCGAAAAAGCACCGTTTCTAGATGAAAATTTTTGACCTTTTTGGCAATTATTGTTAACAATTCCCTGTAATTTCCTCTATTGTCAGCGTCTTCTCCTTCAAAATTAATGGTAATTCCTGATTTGCCAAAAAACATACGGTATCTAGAAGTGTGCTGCCTAAAAGCTTGGTTAAGACAACTTTCGATTCTTGTTTTGCCAAACTGAATTAAATTTGCTACACATCTCACATGTAAAGGAGAAACTTCATGTCTCCTCTTTAGAGCCCTAAACCTATTTAAATCGTTGACTCCGCTGCTGGTCCACCCATTTTTTTCTGAATAAAACAGAAGACATCGCCAACAATACAATCTGTTTTTTTTGCAACCACATAACCAAGAGTTTCCATATACCAACTTAATTTAAAATATCAAACTACGTTTTTTATTCCTTTTTAAAATTATCTAAAATAGGTCTTCCATTTTCAATGATCTCCTTTTTTTCTTAAAAATTATACATGGAAAATGACTTTTCAAGTAGTTGATCGATTACGTAGCGACACTCATCCATCTTTAGTTGCACGCATACTACAGCCGGTAACCAAAACGGCTACAGTACTTGGTCATAAAATATTTATTTTTAAGATTTTTAACTGTTACCAATGGTAACAATGGTTACATGGACGCTTCGCCACTGGACAGTTCAAAATGTTGATCAGTATCTATTTTGAATGCGAATGTTACATAACAAGAGCGTAATCAATGTTGCTTTAATTTGGGTTTCTGTAGGGGAATATCCCAAGATATTTCTGAATTAACACTAGCCATCAGTGTTACCGAACCGAAAAAGTCGAAATCGGTAGTAAGTGTCGTTGAAATTCGGTAGATTCAAGTACAAAGTCCGTAGGAAGAAAACATTAGGGCCTTCACAAGATCAGCGATGGATCAAAGAACTTTGCATCACGTAGCCCTCTATATGAAAAAAGTATATTTTTGCATTACGCGTACACACACAATACAGGTTTTTTGAGGGCATCATCTGTTCTTGAAATAATCTTAAGTTCTTCTGCAAATTGCACTATGAGAGTACTGGTCGCTCTTGAAACTCCTTTGCAACCATCATTGAAACTCTTTTTGCCATTCTTGTTTATAAAATTCTGAATATTTTTCGCTTTCACCCCTGAACTTGAAGCCCCATCACCTGCATTTCAATTTAATATTCATTTAAATACAGACGAGCTTTGGTTTCGTTATTGCTGTCCGGTGATGCAATAACGGTGCCAGTATGTATTGCGCAGAATCAGAACGGCTCCGGGTTAGTTCTTTGTAGAACTCGAACGAGAACGAGAGTTGAAACTGCCAAGCAACTTACAGGCGACGAAGAGCCAAAATATGACTGGTGAATAAAATTTAATGAAACTTGTGTCTTGTAGGCATTTCAGTAGTACGCATATATCTGTGATGCTCAGCTAACGAGTGATTAATATCAATACATCTACGTCTAAACGCGAACGGCTGAAAGTGTATTTGTATTATTTTCTATCTCTTCATGAAAGTCACTTATGGGTTTCAAATTGCAATGGCAGACTTGTGGTTGTAATGGTGCACTAGTCTTTACCCAAACCCTATTTGTAATGTCTCAAAGTTTGGCACACGCTTTGGCACAGTAACTGCGATCAGTCTGACGACACTATTATAAGCAGTCTTGGTAAAACAGAACAAATGTCCGGCAAAATGTCATTTTGGATCATACGGAAGCTCGGTGATTCAGATAAATTGCTGGAGTTGGCGGTAGAGGGCCTTGAGGCGGATACAGCTCGTGCATCGGCAACACTGGAAGCAGATGGCGGATTTGGGTTGGAGATCGACGCACGGAGAACCTGCAGAAAAATATACATTTTTTTAAAAAAAAGGTGCCCTCATATATTTTTTAACGGGTGAAGTTAGGAAGCCTAAATTCGGAGTAATGAAACAGCTTATTCGAAGGCATCCTCTCGGCTGGGCTGTTCTCAGGGAAACAGGTCACAGGCAAGGAATTAAGGATATGGTTACGAAAGCTTACCCAAAGATACAGGGAAAAATAAATTTGTCTGTCAGCTGGAGTTCAATGTGTTTGTATCAACACATGTTAGAAGGAGATACAAACCGACTGAAGAGCCCACGTTGCCTAGTGACGGTGACGCAGAATGTCGTGCCGAATTGCAAATATGTTACATCAGAAAATGTTGGCACAGGCTTCTACAATAGGTTAGGTTACTTTCATACCCAAAAAGGAGGTCAGTTCGAACATATAATCTGATATTTTGTTTTCACTTTGGTTAGAATTATTTATTTCATTTTGGATTTTGGATGGGAACTCCATTATGTTTATCATGAATCTAGTATTTCATAAACATTTTATGGCAGTTTGGCAACACCGCCTCGGTAGCAAGGATGCTCCGATAATAGTCCAAGAGCCGGCCGCAAAATCTTGTTCACATCGCGTACAGATATGGAATGTGAAGATCTATACGTATTTTGATGCTAACTCAGTAAATTTGCTGTTTAGCATCAATATGCTATACGTAAGATGTGACTAGTCTTTATTGTATCATATCAGTACGCGATGATGTAATAAAAAATTTACGAACGGCTTCCCTACTATAATGCCACTCCCAAAAGGTCAACGGGGCCGACCGGCTGTGTGATTCAGCTTCGCGTGACAATTCGATGTTACCCTGCAATCAAGTGATATAGGTACCTTTGTGTGGAGTAAGGTTTTGCTTCTCAAAGCAACTGGTTACAAATGAACCGTAAATTGATATGTTTTCCTGGCAACGTCGCGCCAGTTCAATCAGTCGTGAGTGCTGTTTTCTGCTGTAACCTCACGGCAGAGCAGATTCATTCGGATAAGCTGTAGCTGGGCGGTTAGATCGCAGAGGTGAGCGGATGTACTTTGACAGCGCGTAACTGAGCGAGTTTGACTGCAGTTGAAGGCGCAGACCGTTTGTCGTAACGAGACTGATATTTTAGGGTATAAGTGGCAGCTGAAACGTCCAGGATGACGGCTGGTCGCTATTTGAGACATTCTTTTAATTGGGTTGGGGGATCGTGTGATATCTCATTTTGAAGCCCATTCCGGGTACTATATAACCTAGAATATATAATATTTTAAACTGGCGAACTGGTAGGCTGCCAAATATTTGAGCTTTTATTTTTATGTACATTGAGTTAACTCAACACCCAGCCACTAAAAAAATATAGCATATATCAATTTTCTTCTCTTAATAGCAGTAGCATCTCTTGTACATCCGAATATGTAATGTACATACCACTAAAAAAAAGGACAAAATCTGTAAAAATTGTTAAGCTGTATGTACATTTTTTATTGCACATCCAGATAGACCGTTTTTCAAAAAATGGATATACGTTGTGATGGTTCGTTGTTGAGTTCTAAGCGCAGATTGATGTATAAAAACGCTGACTTTTGACAGCCTGTCCGCTATCTTGAAAGCTAGTAATTTTATATCCTACGATTATAACGTAAATCATACTCACAAGGAGCTTCCATTCCATTAAAAAAAAAGCTACAAGATGACACCCAGCTACTATCTTGAAAATTCAACTACTATCGTCAGTTTCATCATCCCAAATTTCAGATTTGCTAACATGACCCATTTAAAAAAATATGTAGGGAAGGGACATTTCTGAAAAGCACTGCTTTTATGAGAAACTTAACAAAAATTTGATTTCTAATCCAAAGATCTTTACCGGTAAGTCCATTTTCAAATGCGCCGCTTTTTTCAAATTGTCCCAGTTTGCTCCCAGGTAAGAGTATCGACCTTAGGACGTCTTACTTTGGTCTTATTGGTCTTTGTCGTCTTTTATCCGAATGGTGTCGTTTTATTGGCGTCTTTTGGTCGCCGATGCAGCAGTATTCTCATTATAACTCATTATTTATCTTTAGACAGAATACGTTAATTAGTGTTATTGTGCGATTTGATTATCTATAACTGTCTAATTAACGCAATGCCACTTAAATGGGTTTTCTTTTGCATGAAGTTGCAATTACGTGTTGTCACTTAAGTTTGTTACATGATAATGAAAGTTTATTTATAGATTGTATGTATTTTAACTAAACAACCACTAATAAAATTATGTTTTAAAGGAATCAACCAGTATAACAACAGTAAGAGTTCTATAGACATTACGATATGACGTTCTGTGATGCTACGTTTGTGACATGTTTATATGACGTTTTGTCACTGTGACAAATTAACGTCCACCTAACGTCATCAGGACGTCAGCGGATTGGTCACCTTGTCACTACTTTGACGAGAAATTTACGTCACTATCGTATCGTCAGTCATTCCTACAATTGTAGGACGCCTTTACGGCCTCCTTGATTTTCACAGTTTTCTACTGTTCCGTGTCAGCGCTCTATTTCGAGGTCATGTTACAAATACACATTTGCATCAAATTGTTCATGCTTTTGATTTATATCATCTGAAATTTCCTACAATTCAAAAAGAAAACATAGCCTCACAATGGACAGGGAACAGTAGGAATCTTAAAATATCCCAGCCTTTCTGAAGGAGAGAAAAGGAAAAACAAACTTTACCTATGCCTATTATTCGGAAGACATCCACAATGACATGAACACACTGAAGCATCTTCAATATCTACCGAGGTTGTTTCTGTACAATGATGGCCAAAATGACCGCTTAGAATTGAGCCATTGGCTGTGATGACGTCACCTTCCAATCTCACAGCACCGGCTAATGCCTGAAAAAAAAAAATGGAGTTTGTTCAGGAACCAGCATCCGAATTTGAGGTCAGTTTGTCCGTATTAGGTCATTTGACGGGCGTTTCAAGTTCGCTTCAAGGTGATTTTCGGAAAATGCCTGGAAATCAAATCTAGTAGACTCGAATGTATGATTTTGAGGACATTGGGTCTGAAACTGGGGTCATTCTGTCCATATAAGGTCATTTGAAGGGCGCACCCAGCGAACACGAGATGGAAACAATGCCAAACGTACGTGAGATCAATATTAACGATAGGTACATCTCATCTTTGGAGCTGGTTTATTAGATCAGTTATCAGTAGATGACTCTTGAAGTAGTACATTGTTGGTATACATAGGGCATCAAAGGTGGCCCAGCTGTCAGGCTTCGCCATCCCATCAGTACTCTGTTAGCCTGCTAATGATTATCGTCCTAAGTAGTGTTTTGTAGGTTGTGAACGGATCCAGTTACAAATACACCTACCTGCATCGCTTGAGCCTCATCTCTTCTTTCGTCTTCCGTATTCATTGTGACAAATCTCAATACCAACAAATTCAGGGACGCTGCCACGATCGCCAAGCCAAATAGAATGAAGATAAGTGCGAACATCACATATTCGGGTTTCTGGGAGAGGGCGTTATCTTTTTGAAGCGCCACCTATAAAACAAAAGATAGCTATTATTTGAGATAGCACGTCCAAACCAACGTGAAAACTGACAGTAACATCGGTAGCACTCAAAGATCGCGGCAAATGGACCGACCATTCGATGAATCAATCATTTTAACCTTTATATGATACATAACTTTCTAGATTATTATTGGTGAGTAAATATTCACACCCATAAAAGCGAAACGAATCAAAGGGAACCGTAGCCAGGTTTAGCATTTGTTTGCATTAAACGTGAGACACGTCGCTTTTCTTTGTCTTGTGCATTATATGGACTCGCATTTGGTGCATGTAAACGAACTCGTCGAGTGAGTTTCGCTTCCCTTTCCTTCAATGGGCGTGTACCTTTAATTGGCAGAATAGCGGTAGCTGCACTTAGCCCCTGTTCTGGAGGTCGCTGCTCTCCATTTTAGAAACGTTTGAAACAAGAATGCTGATGTTGGTGAAACAGTAGTGGGTGATTTTTTAAGAGGTATAGGATTTGATTTCAAAAAAATACACGGTCGATATAATTTAATGTTTAAATATTATTTCATGTAAATGTTGGCCGCGGCTCCTCTTTAGATGGCCCATGCGCAAGGTCCAATTTTGGCACACTCTCTCCAACATATCGGCCGGTATCTCACGAATAAATGCTTCAATATTGGCTTCCAGTGCGTCAGTCGTTGCTGGTTTATCCCTGTAGACATTAGCCTTAACATGGCCCCACAAGAAATAGTCCAACGGCGTTAAATCACACGATCTGGGAGGCCAATTGACGGGCCCCAAACGTGAGATAAACTGTTCACCGAACTCGCCTCTCAATAGGGCCATTGTTTCGTGTGCGGTGTGGCATGTGGCACCGTCTTGTTGAAACCACATGTCAGCCAAGTCCAGCTCTTCCATTTTGGGCAAAAAAAAGTTTTTTATCATCGCACGGTAGCGCTCGCCATTCACAGTTTCGTTCCGGCCATTGTCGTCTTTGAAGAAGTACGGCCCGATGATGCCACCGGCCCATAATCCACACCAAACAGTGATTTTTTCTGGATGCATTGGTAGCTCTTGCAATGCTTCTGGCTGGTCTTCACTCCAGATGCGGCAATTTTGCTTGTTAACGTACCCATTCAACCAGAAATGAGCTTCGTCGCTGAACACAATTTTTCGATAAAAATGTGGATCTTCCTCCAACTTTGCCAGCGCCCATTCACCAAATTGGAAACATTGTGTCGCAAAATTTTCCAGGCAGTGGAGTAACAGAGGCCAAATTGCTGCGAACGGCGGCGAATCGACATTTCACGGTCATCACTAACACTGGCGGATACAGCCGCAATATTTTCTTCAGTCCTCACTCTACGTCTGCGTGTTGGTGGTTTAATGTCCAATAATGTAAACTGGGTTCGAAATTTAGTCACAAGCTTCCGAATAGCTCCCTCAGTAGGCCGACCAAATTGCCCATAAATTGGAAGCAGTGCTCGATGCACTTTCTTAACCGAGCATAAATTTTGATGGTAAAATTCAATAATTTGCAAGCGTTGTTCGTTCGTAAGTCGATTCATGGTTAAATTATAGACCAAACTGAACAAGTTTGACAATGACACAAGACACGATTCACGCGTCATCTGTCAAAAACAGTGTTGCCAAAAAGATACTGGTAAAAAAATCACCCATTAAAATGACGTCAAGTAGGTTGACGTTGCGTAGCTGCGAGGCTGTGTTGAAAATACCACGTGTGAAATATAGTATCTAAGGCCCGTATCGTTAGTCGTCCCTACAATTATAGGGCGCGTTTATGGCCTCCTTGATTGTCATACTCCTTTCTCTCCTTCAAAAATTTCTAGATTACACTTGTCCCGTGTCAGCGTCAGCGCTCTCCTATTGTGAAGATATGTTTTACTTTTAAATTGTAGGAAATTTGAGGCTGATAAAACATGATATAACTCAAAAGCAAGCACAACTTGATGCAAATAGATGTTTGCGACATAACCTCAAAATAGAGCACTGACATGGAAAAATAGAAAACTATGACAATCAAGGAGGCCATAAAGGCGCCCTACAATTGTAGGGGCGACTGACGATACGGGCCTAACAGACGCATATAATTACGGGGATTGGAAGCTTGCACCCCCAATTTTCAACTCATTACAAATATTTTCTGAAAACGATGACGAGTCTCTTAAACGTCAATAAACGAAATAAGTCAGCGCAGATCGCCATCTATTACAGAATTGGCCACTGCGAAAGTATACAGCAATCTTATTTCGATAGATCTCATTCGTCCTTAGCATGGTTATAAGATTGTGTCAAAATTTCATCAAAGTCCGACTGGTTTTTTCAAGTTATAGCGGATCCAACGATTAGCGGACAGACAGCCAGACACACCGACAGACGCTCCATCAGAATGTGATGTACATGTTATATAACAATAAAAAAGCAGAGAATTATTAGATAGTAAACTCATTTTCAAAGATGTTCACGACTACAAGACTTCCTCGCCAGTTGAGTAGTAAGTTAAATGAGGAAAAGCATCCATTTAATACGAGAAGTGCCGGTCTACCATATATTACTTATAGATACTGTGGTGAGTTGTCACCGTTCTACTAAAAGACACAAGCTTCTGTACTTGTCCGTTAATCTACATCGACGTTCTTATACACGAAAATACTTACCTAATCTCCGCGACGCGAGATGGGAACATCCAGGAAGTACACTCGCGATGCATCAAGAGCATTATGAAGACGACAACCGTAAAGTAACACCAAATCAACAAGTTCGTTAATGGTTAGTAATGTGCCAGCTAACTCGCGTTGTCAATGTAACAACTCGGTTATTTTAAGAATGTTTTATTGAGAACACCATGTATGTTGACGATAGTATTGCTTGCACTACGACGAAAATGATGTGCAGTTTTTCAAAACCTGTGCTGAAACTCAAACAGTTTCAAACTAGTAATATAGTTCGACCACAGACGGCCAACCATGGACAATTGTTTCGTGCTTTCTGACAACTCATCAGTATGGTGTTAGCATGGTCTCAGGAAGCACGATGAACGAAAGCTGAGCAACTATCCTACATAAAAGCTATAGAGCTTATCACAATAAGGTAGCACAAAGTGCTACATATTACCAAAATCGACCACTGCAAGAGTTAAACAGCAAGCTGTCTGTTGGAACTGTATCCCAGTTTTTTGCATTTGTCAGCCAGGTCACCACTGTAGCGGTTAGATGCTGCCGATACTGGAGGTATGTAGATAGTGTCTACTCGCCATTGAAACTATAATAGTAATAAAGCTTTCGCCCGTCCGATCACAGACGGCCAACTATGGACAACTGTTTCGTGGCTTTTGCAACAATCATGATCTAGGCTTGCTCTCAGGTTGGAGAACTAACGAAACCTGAGCAACTGCCTCTATATGACCATGCTGATAAATTGCCAAAAAGCAAGAAATAGAAATAGATATTCATGGTTGGTAGTTTGTGGTCGGACAGAAGAAAGCTGTATACTAGTTTGTTCAGTGGTCAGTAGACCACGTCTGGTATACCTCCAGAATCAGCGGTAAACAGTTCCAACGCACAGCTTGCTGTTTCCCGTGGTCGATTTTGGTAGGCACTTTGTGCTGCCTTATTCTAATGGTCTCGGGAACAACACAAAATACATCAGACTATTCCAAAGATCCGGCCTTGAAAAATAGGTGGGTGGAAAACTAGGAGTTTGTTGTTGGCAGTAGGGCTAAAATTCCTAACGGTGACTGTAAAAATCGTATTACGTTTTTTGGTTCCCTATAAGAATAATCTTAGTTCGTCAGAGTTACTTACCATATCTCCGAATCCAATAGTGGTAAGCGTAATGAAACAGTAGTACACGGAATCGAAGTAGGTCCATCCTTCGTATCTGGAGAACGCAGCTGCACCTCCGGCGATGGTCAAGGAAGACAGGAAGGTTACTACGCAGATCAAGTCTAATTCGGATGCCGTTGTATGTCGACAATGTAGGGAAGACTTAACACTCCGTATTATCACACTGAAGATAAAAAATATTTCAGTCGCCATCTTACCACACACTATTTTTTATATTAAATTTCGGGAAATTTAGTCACGTCCTCTACTTTTACCAACATGTTAAGCCGTGTACAAATATGTAACAACACCGCGAATCGAGCCGCAGCGCGCACATTTTGACGAACAACTTTGCAACGAGTATCACCACAAACCGAACGACGTCGTGCAACCACATCGCGCAACAAAATGACGATACAATTTTGATGTTTGTCGTTCAGTGAAAGACGAATACTAACTGAAATGGATATAGCAATAGCAGCAGCTGCCTATATTTATATTCACTATGAATTATCCAAAAAAAAGTGATGACGACGTCCGGGACGATGGTGGCAAACCCAGTTATATACCAATAGATCAGCACATGGTTGCAACAATTTGATAGTGGAATTGCCATTTTCCGCTTACATAGGCCAGCTTAGTTCCCATTGTGAACGCTATCTGCTCCCAGGCATCACTTTTTTTAATTCAGTGTATTGCAGGGTATGTTTTGCATCCCACAACAATTCCGCTGCTCTGTAATGATCTATAAGCAAAAGTGTTTTCTTCTCCGACCATCCCATCTTTTCTTCACGGGGTCTATCCATTTACAGAGATGAGAGCATACTCGCCGCACTGGTATCCCTGTCTAAACATGTGCAACTTCGTCGCGAGCCATTCGTTTGATGTTACGCTGAAAAACCGAGCCTGGATCGGGCCGAACGGCGAGCTGTAACGCTAAGCAGGTTCGCGACGGCGTTCTTTTCACCGTCTAGATTAGCGCGGCGCGGTTCGTTGCGTGGTTCAGTTCGCGGTGTTGTTACATATCTGTACATGGCTTTAGATATCTAATTTTAAAAATGTTGAAAGTTCCCTATAAACAGATACAATCGATCATTAATTTGATGCTCAAAAGGAGGAAGTATGGAAAGTCTTTGGGAAGTTTGCAAACGTTGATGTCGTCCATACATATTATATTTTCAATACGCTATCATCATATATTTTCCCCAAAAAAAACTTTCGGCAATATGCCGTATTTTTATACTCTGTAATTTCCAAGTTCTGTTGTGTGCCGAAGTGTACTGTTGAATGTTCAATAAGTATTTTATTATGAACGAAACAAAAATATTGTTCTGTCCTTCATTTCATAACTGTTTGCTTTTTTTTATTTGGACTTGAATTACACTGATTTTAAATGTAAATCAGATGGCTACCGTTGATGAAGCTTCTGTAGCATTTATCTGTTATTGAAATGCACTTATGCCCAAGCTCAAGGCTTGCCTTCTGTGGATTTGCTATATACAGATGATTATAATTCCCAATTATAATGTGTAAAAAACTTAATATATATTATTATTATTATTTATTATCTCTGGTCTAACTCGTTTTACAATGAAAAAACTATATGTCAAGTTGAACAAAGGAAACCTTCACCAGATTTATATGTTTAGCATTTCTTTGTACAGGTATGATCAACAGTTCTGGTCTACAGTGGTCACAACACCAATAAACGGAGTTTGTTTGTCTCTATGAGGATATTTGAAGATCATTTTAAGGTCATTCTAAGGTAGTTTCAATGACACTGACTAAGGAGGTCCTTCAATTTGACCCACCTACATGTCACTGGGCGCTAAATTCCGAATTACAGGTCAGTTAGTCACTATGAGGCCTTTTGAGAGTTAGTTCAAGGACAAATTGAAAATAAATCAAATTCTTACTCGTGTTATAAACGTTTTTGTGGTCGTTGAGTGCAAACCGGTGATCAATTAGTCTCTTGAGGTATTTGAAGGCCACTCAAAGGACAGGTCCAAAACGGTTGAACAATGGGTTCCAACCATTTGTCATAATATGGAAATATATATGATCATATTTCTCAATAATTTGTAAGGCTTGACAAGAAATTAGCTTAGGATGTATCCGGCACCACCTCAAGATTGATAAACATTATTGATTCCAATTCGGGCACAGGGGGGAACCTTATTAACAAACCTCTCTGAATAATTGTAGCATAAAAGGTGCAGGATAAACTGAAATCATCTACTGAAAGCTTATAACTTCTTTATTGTGATCCATATTGAGATATTCTTTTACCGCACAACACAACGTAATGAACCTCCCGAATTTTGCCGTAAAAATTAGTGTCTTAATTCTTTGTACAGGGTCCGTCAGAAAGAACGCATGTTTTTTGACTGAGTAGTCCAGTCAAAATAAGTATGGGAAAAAATATTTTATTATATCAAAATTCTCAGAAATACATGCCATTTTTTTGAGTAAAACAACATTTACGTTCTAAAAGCTATGTCGGCCATATGGCGCCGTTGAGCCGAAATGCAGGAATCAAGCCTCTTCCGAAATAAGCCCGTTGCGTCGGCCAGCATCCGTTCAGGAGTTCGGGTTACTTCTCTTCTTATTTCCTCCTTCAAATCGACGAGGGTCCGAGGCTTGCTTTGGTAAAATTTTGATTTCAGTTAGGCCCATAAAAGAAACACAACTTGACAGGTCCGGCGAGCGAGAGGGCCATGGAATATCGCCATGACGTGAACTGAGACGTCCTGGGAATTTTTGCCGAAGAAGTTCCATCGAAGTGTGAGATGTTGGAGCCACACTGTTCTGAGACGGACACGTTGACGTCGAAGTTCCGGAAAAGAAAGTTGTTCAGCATATGGATGTAACGCTCTGAATTTACAGTAGTTGTTTCTCCATCATCCTCAAAAATATATGGGCTAATAATCATCGTTGGGCTTACTTCACACCAAACTGTAACTTTCGGGGTATGCAATTGTTGGGGGTTCACTGGAGACCAATATCGACAATTTGGTTATTGACGTATCCATGTAAATGAAAATGTGCTTCAACACTCATAAACAACGTCATGTCATTGTTATCCAACTGTTCAATCATGAACTGTGCAAAATTAACACGGTGTGCATAATCCCCTGACAACTTGGATTTTTTAAGGATGGAATACTAAATCTTTCTTCAAGATGCGACGTACTTAGGACACGTGGATCCCTAGGGAACTGGCACGCAAAAAGACGGAACGATTCGGGCTTTGCAGCGTGTCAACTCTTACTCTGTCTACGTTTTCGGGGGTTCTAACAGTACGGTTTCGCCCTGGCGGTTTTTTCTTCATCACATTACCGGTTGTGTTGAGTGCTTCCACCCATTTCAAAATGGTGTTACGGTCTGGTACTGTCCCACGACGTGGAACACGAAAGTGAACGCGAAACTCACGATGCGTTCGAACGACAGACTCGCCATTTTGAAAGTAGCGACGTACAGTGAACACACGATGCTCAACGTTCCAAACCATCTTGCTAACTGAAACGGCAGTTCTCCCACTATCCAACACGCCCTTCCCCACCGACACGGGACCAGCACACTCGATGTAGTACCCATACGAAGTACATGCGTTCTTTCTGACGGACCCTGTATTTTTGACGAGTTCTCGCATAAATAATCCACTGTGCAACGCACGGGAGCGGCTAGTTTACCCTAATAGGAATATCGTTCATTAGTTGAATGATTTTATAGTTGGAATGCTTTGGCATAGCTTTAAAAATCAATATACATTTTCCGATCGCTCATTTTGGCAGCCGTTTTTTTTCAATAGTAATTCGGAAGAGCGTGTTAAAATATGCCTATAAAAGCGTGATCCGTGGAACTTCTTTGAAACCTTCTGGATGGACCTACCTAATCAATGTTAGAGGTAAGCTTTGCCACGCTGATACGTTGAAACCGTTGTTCTTTCGAAAAATACTGAATACATTAATTTTAAGAAATTTTCTTACCATAAAAATAGTCGAAATGAAGGTACTGTCAATCTACTGTTTCTTGCGTGGTGCAAGCGGAAAAGGTACGAGGTACGAAGGTGAAAATTTTGAAAGAGCACTACAAAATCCATCAAAAAAGTATTTCCCAAAAATGTCGAATCTCCTAACTGAACTACTTCTATATTTGCTGCTATAATTTGGACCCAAGTCCCACAAATTTCTAGTGAGCTGTTTAAATACATCAGTTTCGGAAGCATCTGGCTTGCTTTTTGATTCATCTTTACTTGTAGTCAAAATTGCTTTTCGATTTTAAGGTCGTTTGACAAACGAGGAGCAGACTTTCAGAAGGCGTTAAGTGCGGTTCTTATGAAATTGAGTAAAAGATGGCGCTCAAATGTAGACGTTCATCTCCTTGTATCTCCATCTCCATGAACATTCAAGACGATGATAGGCCATAAATATTATACACATAAATAAGTCAACACTTGCAAAGACCGTTAATTTATTCAGTGCTAGACTTTGTTACACTTGTTACTGTAGAAACTGTTTTGTTTCACCAGTACATTTGTCTTTTGTTTGAGCACGTGCCTCAAGATTGAAATCGTGTCGTAACGCATCAGTAAGCATAGTTTCCTCGGAGACGGAGACGTACCTTAAAACGACATGGCTGTGCCAAGTACCTGACGTTGATAAAAAAGATTTAAACGAACGAAAACATAAGTTCTCCAAAGTCTGCATAACCTTGTAGTGCAGTTATCTGCAGACAGGTGGCGTGCGGATAAAGAATGACAATTGCTTCTTCCAGTCTTTCTAGAGCATCTTGAAGAGCTTCCAGGGGTTAGTGAAGAAAAGAATGATGAATATAACTGCATCGAAGATGATGGTGAACGATTGAACAACTTTCTTCCAACCTATTTTTTAGAAAATGTTATTTTGCATGGAAAATAATACACGTTTTGACTTAAGTTACCATTTCCCAAACAAAAGAACTCATTTCATCTTTCAACAAATAAAGTACAATGAATGAAATCTATTTTTTGGTCAAAAAACAAAATTATTATGCTATCCTCCCTCACCAACAAAACATATAGTCTTCATGTATTTGTTTCGCTAATATCAGGCATTTGCAGCTACACGTGGTGTCACAACAGTTTTTGTCATATTTCTCAATTCATTCGAAACATAGCATAACGAATTTTGCAAAATCTGCTCCACAAATGTCAACTGCTGTCACAATTTGGAATTAATCCCCAGGGAGAATTCTATTCTAGTGCATTTAGAAGAAAAAGTGTAGATTTTTATTGCAAAATCACAAATAATGCCTTTAATAACATTCCAAAACGTTCTCACCTACTAAGCCTATTGACCCGTTCACCAATGCTCTGGAACATGACCAGTCCAAGCGGAATGCCCACCATGGCGTAGCACATGGTGAACAGCTTTCCTGCGATGGTGCTAGGTGTGGAATGGCCGTACCCTATGGTGGTCAGTACCGTGGTGGCATAGTAGAAAGCTCCGGCGAACTTCCACTGCCGACCCGCTCGATGCGGCTCCGATTTCAGTACTACCGTCTCCATGATGCGGAAGTCTTCGTCGGTTATATTGTATTTCTTGCGAACTATGCTTTGAATTTCTGGAAATTATTGAGAATGTTGAACACAATCAATTTTGAGCAATAAACACTATCCATTTGGTAAATTCCATGCGATTTGATTACATTTCCAGAATATGCAACAACTTTCTAATAATAATAATAATGATAATAATAATAACCGTCTATATCACAATGAAATACAAAATACGACGTTGTACTTTAATAGTTTCAAATTAAACATATTTTTACGTTATACTAAACTATCTACATGTATTTGTATATCATGCCTTACATGTGTATATCAAGAAAATATTTTTTAAGTGCTACCCCAAATTTTCGTATTAGTCATTTTTTAACTTCCAAAGGCGGTGCATTGAAATGAATAACTGACTTATTTTCAAGCTTCTATAGAAAAGACTTGTTGAGTGGGAAGGCATGGATATGCAACATGTATTTTGAACCATTTGACTTCTGCTTCTACTACGTCCAAACAAGGGAAATATACTACAAAACCATATCTGAGATTTGGTGGGTTATAATTTAAATAACAATTTGGGAGAAAATGTGCAGACTTGGCATGCATTTTCTCCGCTTTCCATAAAGTCTCCGGAAAAAAACTTGTTGCAGGTGCCCATGAACGTTGCTATGACTAACCTACTTATTGGGAGTACATATATCCCTAAACATTCAGAGTGCTTTTTCAGTCGAGTCAATAGGCCAGGGAAGTACTGTAATCGCGAGAAACTTCAAATGGAAGAATAATTTTCAAATATAACGTAGTAGGTAAATTTCTTGTGGCGTTTATCAGGTAATTTTTGCTCCTCTATTACAGGCAGAAAAATAGTTGTAGTTTTTGTTAATCGGTCCTGATGCGATAGAGTAACAGACAAAAAAAGACTAATTTAATCATTGGCCCTTCTATTACCTGGCACGTATCACTGGATTTTGAGGAAATTTTGAACGGCCTTTCTAATGGTACCAGTGTTATGACCAAAAAATCTATAACACCCTCAAACTTGACTATCTTTTTTTCATTTCTGATCTTTTTGAACACAATCAAAGATGTTCCTAGGGGAGACAAAATTCAGGAAGAAGTCAAACTTTGTTGATATATTTTAAGACGCAGTCAAGAGTTTATTTGAAGGATTCAGATTATGCAATCCTGCAAAGCTCGTTTTTCAAATTCTAATCGCCCAGTCAGTTTTGGATAACTCCAAACGCAGCACGAGCAACACGAGGTGTGCAGTTCGAAAATATCTACAACCCTCTTGTAGAAAACATTGTACAGACGGATTTATATATTCTTGAGGGTGAATGTTAAGGCACCTCATCCTCTTCTAGGTAACTTTTTTCAAACTTCAAAGCTATAAGTCTATTGAACAAAGATTTCTCATCACCTAGCTACTAGTATTATATCTTTCTTTCTCAGCGATTAAGTATGGTGTTTACGATCAGCAAAAAAACTAGGGAGTTTTTCTCCGTAAATTGGTTTCCTATAAAACATATCTTCAAGGCGTTTCGTCATTTTCCGAACTCTGGGAAATTAGGCGCCAAGCGCCAATTCATGGACTAGCACCCTTTTTTGTGTAACTTAAGTTTAGTCATTTTGGTTTGGGTGCTACGTCTTCCATTTTTTTTTTTTGGATTTTGACCCTCAGCGGTAAGTTATTTTTTATATACCTTCGGATCACGTGCCTTATGCGTGTCCTGATGACGTTCGTTCAATATCTGCTTTCTTTTAGTCAATAGAGACAGAAGAGAAACATCGTCCTTTCTCCTCCAGTTGGTTGCATTTTTGCAAATTGGTGGAAGCCATCCCCTTGAAAAAACCCTGATGTGAAGAGGTAAAATATCATTCTAATTAACAATTTCATAGATCTATATACATTTATTATTGCTTATTGAAGTTCTTAGAGACTCCTTGATTTTATTGGACATTCTACGTATTCAAATATGGGGACAGTGCCTACATGGCACCTTCTATTACATTGATCATGATTTTGATTTTTGGGCTGCCATAACTTCTTAGCACAAGGGTATATTAGTTTAGTACATTTTTATCTTATTTATTGCCTTTGCTTTACTTTTCTTGTACAAAAAAATGTACATAGTTCTGCTTCAAAGTGCGATTGTTTTCAATGAGTAGTTTTATCTCAGACAGAGAGTAGACAAGATTTTTAAACAGTCTTTCTCTCTCTAGGGTTTTTTTTACTACCATAATTTTTGGCAATGAGGCAAGCAGCCTCTGCCCAGTGACGTGCCCACTACTGGCCACTTTTTGACCAGAGTTGAGGACATCTCGGCCGCGCCTGACAAAGAAGACCTACAGATAAGTCTAATATTTAGGCGCAAAATATCTGTAGGTACTTCGGGCGTATACCATGGTAGACGTCTCGCGGGGTTATCTCGAAAAATAATTTTGTCAGGTTGTATTTAAGATTTATAACATCCTTTCTTTTTTGTTACTCGCACTGCAGTAGTCGAGCACATGTGCGTTTTTTTTATTAAAGTAAAGTTGTGGCTTAATCCGTCCTAAGTCACTGGCGCTCTTAACCCCCCCCCTACTCTCCGCTTTATTGAGCTAGGGCCTAAACTTGCACGCCACTAGACAACTGTTTTGCTTCGACCAACCGTTAGATAGTATTTATCATTGTATTTCATTAATTAACAAAAAAAGGGCGTGGCAACCTGCGACGATGCTGGGTACGCCGTTGTAGTGGAACACCCAGCAATCCACCCTTGTTTACTTGCTTCATGGTAACTGGATCAGATATGAAAATCGTTTTCCCATACTTCATTTAATATACTATACCTTGCAGTACAAGCTTTCTCTGGTTCTCCGTATTGGATTCGAGTGCGTCGAAAACAGCAGCCCCGATCAGCAAATAGGTGAAGGTGCAGACGATCAAGGAGAGCGTACGGACATTCTGCTTCTTCATGCTTCACGGAGAGCGACGCCGCTGGATGAAGCAGCGGCAACCAAGGCATCGTGCTGCTGTCTCCCAGCCCAGCTCGTTCCGCCTTCTACTAGCTGTACCTAAACCCACCATGGTGGACGCCAACCACTCGGAGATCCTGGGATGCATCCCGAACGTGGAACATTGCAACACCTGCAGCAGATCAAAAATTTTACTTAGCACACTTGTATTATTTATCTTATAAACGTCATGGATCTTATATTATTCATATTTGAAATATTGAACAAATAACAGAACACAATAAAAACTAAGACATAAAAGATATCTTTATCTTACAATTAAAATCTCTTCTTTCTAGCTTTGACTGCTGCAAACTCAGAAATAACTTCATCAAAATTTATATTTAGTATTGCCTCGTGTTCGATGGCTAATATACCAAGATTTTTTATTAATTTTAGTTTACTAACCGTCATGAACAATTTTAGTGTAATTATAAGACTTGGAAGAGATTCTGTAAAATCCCATTCGACAATAAACTAAAAAAATCTAGAGATACCCAATCAGAATCTGTAACGTTCGCGGCTTTTAAGTGTTTTCGCAGTCTTGGTATCTCCAAAAGTAATTCTGGTTCTGATACCTCATCATAAAAATCAGTAAATTTAGCTAATTTCAGTTCTTCAGTATTCGTCAAAAGCAAAGTATTTGTTCGTACGACCTCGAACAATGAAGCTAGGTCTTGAAGAGACTTCTATCTTGTCAGGAGTTCAACTGAGACGTCAAGGATCGCGACTATGGGACGGGGAATCCCACACGACAGCGTCATGCGCTTTTGGAGGGAATCCCCGGATTATACATAAAGCTAAAAAGACAGCTGTGCTAGCGACTTATTTTTTTATGTTTGTACATTGTTCTTAAAGATGAGTCACCGGGTGGGTGTCACCCCAAAAAAAGGTGACACCCGCTGAGGCACGCCCCCGCCACCCCTCTTGCTACGCCACTGGTATAGATGTCTGTTTTGAAATTTAATTGTATAACAAAGATATTAAACGCATCAAGTCAAACAAACATGACCATACAATGAACTCATTTATATTTTTCCCCGCTCCACTGATAATACCATCTACCTTATCAACTATATTTTCAATGAGCTAATAATCACAAATAGAGGTGATTTCCATTTGAAAAAATGACTTTTTCTGCTCTCTTAAATCTAATTTCCTTTTCCTTTTTTGACCATCCTGTATCATTTGATATCCAAATCTAGAATTAGGCCTAGCTTCCCACCTATAACGAACCCGCTACAAATCATATGCCAAAGCAAAAATACCCGAAAAAATTTGTATTATCTATTAGCCTGCTTGACTAGGTATAGGATGGTATACATGAAAAGTATTTAGAATTTTGTTTGGAATCCAATGATTGAATCATATCAAGGGCGTACTAAATGAAATATGCAAGTTTGTATCTTCTTCCGGTACAATCGGCAGGGGTACTACGTATCTTGAAATGTGTGTTGCTGAATTTTAAAAATAAGAGGAAAAAATCATTTTTTTGTGGAGTACTATATACTACGACTAACAGGTGAGAAAATAGGCTACATATATATCAAAAGTGAAAAGGTTGTTTCATTTTACATCATTTTTTATTTCTAGTGGAAAAATAAATCATCGCCTAGATGTGAGGCATTGCGATAATGCTATGTGTGTGGTGCATTATTCCTATTTTTTCTGTGATGTGGCTTTGAATGTTCGTGAGTATATTTTTTCAAAATAAAGCCTTAGATATAATTTCGAATATAACCTCCCTTCAGAAAGGACAACGCAAATAACCCGTGTGACACAGCTAATCGATATACTTCATGGGCAAATAACAAATATCATTGATTTTATACACATCCACACAATCACTACACAATCATCCATAGGCGATTTTGCCACTCTACTACTCAACCAATCTTCTTTCTGTCACATCTTCACAGTGCTATACTCTACAGGCTATCTCGGCATTCTGCAACCAACAAAGCGTCGAACTTGCATCATGTTCGTTAAGTCTTTCCCTCATAGGTGAGGCTACGGGTGACGCCCACTGCGAGGAATAGCGGAATGAACTACTTGGTCACCGGAAGCTATCTAGTCAGGAAGATGACATTTGACGGTGTATTTGACATTATACGAGCCCCTTCCCACTTCAGTTGGCCCAACTATTGAAATCTTAGTTTTTTTCTTATCAAACACAAATAATAAAAATGTAGCAATGAATATTTTGATAATATATAGTAGAAAACACCAACTTTATCACTCCCTAATCAAATTTGCAGCATAAAAATAACACATGTTGCAATTACAGCATATCAACCTATTTTTATTTCAATTAGTTAAGGTTTTCAAAATGGATAGAGGAAAGGTTATTAGTGAGAAAATTCGGTTACTGATAATTAATTTTTTTAATTCTGGGAAATCAAACTCAGAAATTGCAACTTTCTTAGACTTATCGCGGTACAGTGTGAGAAATATTGTTAGAAGATATAACGTAACTGGTTCAGTTAATATTAAGCCACGATATGTGAAAAAAAGTAATATCACAAATAAAGAATAATCGTGAAAAACAGGCGTGCCAATTATTTACAATTAAGTGCTCTGTGGAGTGACGCTGTTGGAAGGAGAATTTCGAGGTCTACAACTCATAGAGAGGCCCACAAACTGGGATTTAGCACTTGCAAGGTAAGTTTCCTTATAAAAAAAAAGTGAAGTAAAAACCCTAAAGTTGCACAACTTGTTTATAGGCCAAAGAAAAGCGACTATTAACTCCCTGCAAAAGAAAAATCGGCTTAGATGGGCTAAAGAACATAGACAATGGACACCTCAACAATGGTGTGCATACCATGGAGTGATGAGGCCTGATTCGAAGTTTGTGTTGGTGTCAGTCGCAGTAGAGTTATTCGCAAACAAATGAAGCATTCCATGTTGACTGTCTGAAGAGAAAAGTGAAATTTCCAGCATCCATTATGGTCTGTCGCAGTATGTCATCACAAGGAGTAGGAAAACTTCATTTTATTGATGGAAATGTGGATACAAACAAATATTTGGCAATTTTAGAAAAATTGCTTTTACCAGTGATGGAAGAATGTTTGACATCCGGCCAAGATTTTGTGTTCCACCAAGATGATGCAGCGTGCCATACCTCAAAAAAGGCTATAAAATGGATGGAAGAAAATAACGTACCACTTTTGAAATGGGTTTCTAGCAGTCCAGATCTGTCACCTATTGAAACTTTGTGGCACGAGATGAAAAAGGTTCTACGACAACATCCTGCTCGTGCAATCACCGAACTGAAACAAAAGATTCCAGAAATATGAGATTGTTTCACACCAAATTTTTGCCAAAACTTGGTTAACACTATGCCCCAAAGAATTTCAGCCGTAATAAAAAATAAAGGTGATGTTACCCAATGGTAATCTTTCAATTGTTGCTTTGTTAACTTCGTGCATTTATTCGCACATAGTTTATTTGTTCAGATGTTCTATTAGTTATAGGTCTAAGTGATTTCAAATATATATTTTTTACGACTAGAGTGTATCTAAAATGTTTTTGAGAAAATAAATTGTTTTAGAAGTAAATAGGTTCGTCATGTTTAGTTTATAAAGGCATATTTTGGTGCAAATCTTGTGGGCCAACTGAAGTGGGAAGGGGCTCGTACAGGTCTGTACGTAATAACCCTGCGGAAGTAAAACCATTTAGAAACTACTTGGAGCACCCTGTACGTTTTGTTAGTTTTCCAGTTTTAGTCAAAATACCAATCAACGGTTCTTGGTGCTGTGTAAATCTTCTTTCAGTTGTAACTTTTATAAACTTCTTGTAAGATGTAGTTACATTGTAGCTACGGTATTTCGCGCCTCTCAACTTTTTTATCATTGTAAAAAGATATGGATTGTGCGTTAAAAATCTAGCAGGTTCAGATGTTATGAATCTGATCCTCATTCAGTTTCTGTTTTGAATATTTCTATCGTAAATACTCCAAGCTTTGCGGAAGGATGTTAAAATACTACTGCGGCTTGCACAATTTCGTATTTTATTCCCTATTTGCTATTAACTACAAAGTCTCACTCGAACTTCAAGTGTAGCTATACCAATATTAACACGTCGTCTTCACGCAAGCCTCAAGAAGAATACTCGCATTCTTTAGGAAAAGCTCAGCATCATCCTTTCTTTGTATCAACAAATTACGTTCATCGTAATACGAAAACTTCATTTCGATCCCACTTCTGATTTGCATAAATAGAAATAATACAAGGAATCTATCCAACAAACTAACTTTTTAAGCTGAAGGCACATCAACATCGTGCATTGGGTTGTTCTGAGAACCATTCATACGATTTTTAAGGTCAAAAAACACCACATAACCTAAAACTTTTCAATCTCACCTCAAAGATCCATAAGTCATTCACTCCTATAGAGAACAGTTGAGCATAATGATGTCTTTTCTAATGCATCTTATTTTGATGCCGATATGAAGTGGCTGTATAGACATGTAACCTGAAGAACGTGCTGGGAATTTTATTTTAATTTGTATGGCAGTAAAGCTGAATCCAAATGAGCTTTTAATGAGAGGCTTACCTTATGTGCAGCTTTGATTATATTGACGGAGTTCTGCTATCTACGAAACCGACCAACTCAACTACACCAAGCCCAACTATTTCGAGGGTTCACTGCGGAATCCTAAAACACCGAATTGTATAAGTTATTCACTTCCTTGCACCCTAGTCGGACAAAGACCCGCATTTTCCTCCCTTCCCCTTTCACTGCACCAACAATTCTGCTTCATCCCTAGTCGCGCTGATTTTCATCCCACTTCTGAATTCCAGCACATCGACCCGACTTAGTACCGTTTGTTACCCCACGCAGTGCAATCCAGGCCTTTTCACGACCTCACGTGAAACATTCCTCCGGTAAGTCCGGGTTCCGGGTTTATCAGTCAGATCCTGTAGTCGGGACACATTATGATTGTTTTGGAGATGATCGTTGTATTTCGTAAGAGGTCGGAGGAACAGCATCCGTTACAGGACCATGTTGCCAAATCGGGAAAGGAGGCTGGGTAGCAGATAAACATCCGGATTTCAAGATAGGTAGGAGATGATAAATCAGTTAATTTTCTTCCAGTAGTAGTAGTAGTAGTGCTTTGCTTTTTGTAGATATGTCGTGAGCTTGAAATACAAGATGTCGAAAAAGAGTTGCAATTGAGAAAACACTATTCAACTAATGACTAGGTTTGTTTAAATATTTATGAATATATCTTTAACATCAAAACTGAGCATCTTAGAAACTTTGGAATAGTTGAATGGAACTAGATATGGAAATTTCACATTTAGTCTAACCATATTAGACGAAAATACCACTGGTTTGAGAAATAATTCCAAGGTCTGGTTTTACTGCTGCAAATTGTTCAAGGGGATATTCAAAACATGGACGCATAAAATGGGTACACCAATTTTTGTGGGAAAAGTTTTTATTCGACAACAAAGAATGACAAAACGTGTTTTTTGGGATTCAAGCGAAAGTGTTGGCAGGAACAAAAAGCTCTTCATATAATATTTTTAGGTATTTGTGAGACCTTCAAAAAGGGATCACACGTGGAAAGATCCGACTGATAGCAAAAAAGTTATGGCCGAAAACCGAGGCAAACTGCAAGTTTTGGCACTTGTTCGTAATACGACGATGGTTTCTCGCAGATATTAGAAGTTTCTCAAATTCGTAGGATTCGTACTTCTGAATAACCACAAAAAATCGTAGTAGATTGGTCAAGTAGTTTTTGAGAATTTCTAATTGTTTATCCCAAAACACCTGTTTTGCGCCCATCACTACTAGTTTATTGAGCAATATACAGGGTTAAAACAAAGGGCATTTTATAGCAAAATAAACTAGTTTACCTTGACACTTATGAATCGCCAACGATTTCGGAAAATAAATGTTATTTTTATGCAAAAAGGATGGGTTACGTTTTTTCTTCCAAACACATTCAAACATTTCGCAAAAAAGACGGTAGACACATCCGCTTTGTTTTAAAATGTGAATAGTAACGTATGTTTTTCGAATATCGTAGCGCATTTGTTCAATTACTCACAAATATGAAATGTTTGAATCTGATTAGAAGAAAAAAACGCAACTTTTGTTTTTTGCATAAAAATGACATTTACCTTTCTGAATGGTTTGTGATTCATATCGGCAAGGTAAACACGAGTATTTTGCTATTAAATGCTCAATAAACTAGTAGTGATGGCCGGAAAACTGATGTTTTCTGATAAACAATTGGAAATTCTCAAAAAAATTCTTGAAAAAAAAACTCCAATTTTGTTGGCGTTATGTAGAAGTATGAATCCTACGAATTTGAAGAATTTCAAGTAGTTGCGTGAAATTATCGTCGCATTACCAACAAGTGCGAAACCTGCATTTTGCATCGTATTTTGGCATAATATTTTTGCTATTAGTCGGATCTTTTTACGTGTGTGTTTTCGTTCCTGCCAACGCTTTCGACTGAATCTCAAAAAACACGTTTTCTCATTCTTTGTTATCGAATAAAAAGTTTTCCCACAAAAGTTGGTGCACAGATTTTATGCGTCCGTGTTTTAAATACGCGCTTGAATAACTTGCACCAATAAAACCAGACTTTACAATTAGTTCGTGTGAATTTGCTAATATGATTAGACTAATGATAGAAAGAGTTTCTAAGCCTTTTATGTTCCCAAAGCGGTACAGTATCTTATCAGTCCGGGAACTTGTAGAATATTGGAGTTTTTGATAGTTACTCCACACTATTCAGCGAAATTTTGAGAAATTGTGAACACTTCACTCTATTATATCATTTGTGTAACTATCATAGTGGGGGCACACTGACCCCCAATCGGAACACCTAGTAGCACCATTAAACGACAATCCTGCAATCATATTTGAATTATTCTTTACTTTTACTGTGTATTGCTATTTCGTATGGAATTCTTTTCTTAATGTCCCATTGTCACATTGAAGCCAACGTTGGCACCACCGTTCGAGCCAACACAGTATTATTCAGCGCCAAGGTTGGCCAACCCCGGACAATGCGCATTGGTTTAGTATTGGTGTTGGCCTACGTTGGCTCAATATATGATAGCAAAAATCATGTATAGTATTGGTTTTTTTTCCTTCGTTCTATCGTAAATGTTTCTTTGTTTTATTTCTCTGTGAAAAGTTTTCAATAGGTATTTAAGTTGGTGAATCTATGCTGCTGCCAAGGTATGCAAATGAAACACATACAAGTCTATTTATGACTTATAATGAATACATATATGCACAATATTAAGTAGATCCGATGAATTTTATCTAAAAAAAGTTGCAAGTTTTCTTAATTTAAGCTTCGCTGTTAAGAAACTTTATCAAAACTACATTGAGTAGATATGATTTTCATCAGAATATCCAGAAGTTTCCAGTCCTTCCGCTTGTAATTCTGAAAGGTTTTAAGTAACTCATCATACTAGGTTCTGTGATTGTATGCAGGATTGCATTCATTTAAATACCAAAAAAAAAAAAAAATATGAAATAGGTATATTTGTTTAGAGAGATTCTAGTAAATACGGTTACTAAACTACCTCCGTATATATAATTAGATATGCAATTTTCAACGCAAAGCAATAGATCTCAGCGTGATGCCTTACAATATTCAAACAATGCAAGGCCTTAGCAACTTGGGTTATTAGGGTCTTCGATTGAAGGGCATATTACAAACAATCAACTGTTTAACAGTAATACGTTTCTCCAGGAAACCTCATCACTCTGTACTAGACTCAAATAAGACCTAGTCTCGATTGCTGCTCACATATTATGGGTGCTGACGCCTCTCACTACATTGCCCATTGTCATTGCTGCTCAGAGGAGGATTGTCCAACGGATGGGTGACACGGACGGTCTCGGGACCCTCTTGCATCGACGGGCTCTTGGAGAACAAGCTCTCTACTACCGTTATATCAACGGGCTTTGCTTCTCAGAGCTCTCCTCCATGATGATCGGATTAGCAAGGTATCTTTAACCTTTTTATAGCAGTCGCGGTGCCCCGGTGTTTAGGCTTCTGCCTAAGCGGCTGCGTCAGTGTAAGAAGCACAACATCACCCACCATCTAATTAGCGGGAGTACCAAATTTGATGTAAAAAACGTATGATCAACTTGACTTTCCAATTTTTGATTTTTAATCTATGATTCAATGTATTATATAATCTCAAAATATGATTTTCCTTTTTCAGGTTTCAGATTCGTTAACCATTATGTATGAAACAGGAAAACACACATATATACATACCATATAGCTACTACAAGCTGTCTATGTCAGCAATCCCTTGCAGCAGGTTTGAAAGTATCTTTTGAAAACCCTTATCATGCGTATCGAGATCCACAAACGTTTTTGTTTTCCTGCTTAGTATAATAATTATAAGTACATATATAATGAAACAGTTTGACGAATATAGGCTCTACATCTCTTTTAACAATTATTTTCACTTAATTGGCTATTTTTAGTCATCTATAATCTAGAACGTTCCGTGCATGAGTTTTTACCATAGCATCGAGACACCGGTCATTTAGTTGGAAATGGCGAAGGCGGTAACATCCTATACTGATTTAAAAAATACTCATCTTTTGATGATATTTGAAAATCTGATTGCCTCGAACATACAATGAGAATAAGACTGCTGGAAGTTTCAATATTTTAATAACAAAAGCTATCGAATGCTGTTAGTCTATGCATGGCTACCTCTAGCTATTTCCAAGAATTAAACCTTTCCCCTACCTTTGGAAAACTTTGCTTGTTTTGTTTAGACAACATACGAGACCATGGTCTATAATCAGGGTTTTCGGCACTGAAAATAATTTTTAAAATGCCCAATTTCGAAATTTTTGCATGCTTGTCCGAAATTCATCTATTTTCGCGTATTTGACTTAATGCTTCTATATGAGTGCGTTGTCGTTATACTTTCTATTAAAATGAGTGTTGCTCCACTGCGGGCACAATAGAAACAGAAATTGAGACAAATCAACACACAAATAAATTAAGACTTCAGCTGTTGTATTTAATTTGAACACACTGTAGTAACACCTGATTTTTATATATGATTTGTCTTTCTGTGTTTCATTACAGATTTGAAGAAAGAAGTGTTGCGGTCATGCATTTGTATAAAAATAATAAAAATTTAAAAATGGCTAAATTATAGAGTGCCAAAATCACGAAGACTATCAAGTACCAAATAAAAAGAAAAATTTGATGAGAGTTACACATGCTCTAAAATATTCAAATGCAAAAATGCTATAGATGCAATCAACTTGAAATTAGAATTATTTCTAAGATGGAAAACTACCTGGTTCGTTGGTCTCATCGAACTTTTTACTATTTTTCTTTTTAGGCAAACTTGCAACTATTTTGCGGTTTGGCAACAGTGTATTACGCACGATCGATGCCGGCGTCGCAGTGACGTCACGACGTCGCCGTCAGCGTCCCGTGAAAGTTCATCGACAGGCGCAACAACTGTCGTTGCCGTGGGAAGAGGCATACGCGAAACTTTAGGCTAGGGGACGACCGTCGATAATTTGTGCAGAGCTTTCTTATAGACCAGATAAACTTATACTTATTTCGATTTTGAGAGTCAGTTTCTAGCGTCGTCCTAAATTGTCCCAGGAAGATGTCTGTTGAAAATTGATGGATTTGGCGCCAGCGATTTTGTTTCTTTCCCAACATTTCAATCTACTCACGTATCAGACCTGAATCTTGACCATTCATTGATCGGTATATTGAACATTTTGAAAAATGGGCGACGATGAAGATTACTTTGGAACAGATTCAAGTGAGGATGAACATGTTCATAGTCAAGTGTTGATAACTTAAATGAATTTGCTGCAATCATCTTATTAGTAATATTAATGTGATATATATTTTGTTCGTTTCAAGTCAGTAGCTTTCTCTTAATTTCCTCCTATTGCTACGGC